TATACACAATAGTTAATATTCATTAGTATTTTGATATTATTTCTATTAATTAATTAAGTAAAAATTACTTGAAATTTTTTAATTTATTGAATAACTATTATTCAAAATTAATTCGAAATTGTGTATATTGTATAAAAATAATATAAATTCTCTTCAATTATTCGTATTTAATCAAATAAATTTTAGTTTTCTATAAAAATAATTTTATATAAATTATTGAAACTTTGACAAACTGAGTAGTATGTTCATTTTATGATTTCCCAATTTAATAGCTATCAAATCTTCAAATCAACTATTCAATAGAATTTGCGGGCCTCATCAAATTATGTAAATAATATTTCAATTGGAGCCCAAATGTGCAGTCCTTTAAGTTATTAATTTAATTCCGATATAAATAGGAATATAAAAATTACTTAACCTATTTTCAATCTCAATATATTTAATATCATTTGCATTAAATCTAATTAAATATGGTAACTAGGATTAAAAACTATTTACATTGATGATCAACAAAATTCTAAATAGAAGATCAAAATCATTTAAATACATAAATCATTAATAAAATAATAAACACAAAATTTAAATATTAAAGAAAAACAAAGTCTTCAAAAACTCTTTTGTCTATCTTTTAAAATTAATTTCATAAATTTAATTCCTATGACATTTACACTAAATAAACAAAAAAGCAAATTTTTAGTAAAATTTTTTAAATTTTCTCTTTTTAAATTCCAAAAGTTTTTACTATACCTTTAAGGAAAACAATATAAAAAAAAAATTTTTTTTTAAATTTCTATTTCAATATTGAATTTTAGCCCAATTACTTTACACTAAATTCCCCAATATAAAAATATAAATACAACTTTATTACTCGTACGTACTACAAGATTATATTAAATAGGATCTTATTAGATATTGTTTGTAAAAACTTATAGTTAGAGAAAAAAAAATACAAGCAAAAAAGAAAAAGAAAATTTATTCAAAAAATGTCTGATTTATGTCAGACCTGTAATGTCCTTTTTCTAAATATATTATACTTAAAGAAATAAATATACAGACATGTCACCTATATAACCTTAAATAGGATTGTAATTTGAATACATTAGTTTTTTGTACATGATACATAGATATTATTATTATATACATATGCTTGGTATAGACTTAAAAAATTTTAACATAAAGAAAATTTAGAACAATAATTTAAAATTATACAAGAATACACATATACATTGATATACATATATTATCATATGCATATACACCTACATATTTAAAATAAAATATGCTTTAAAATTTGTTTTTTCTCATATTGAATTTAAATTTTATTTTAAATAAAAAAATAATAAAATAAAACAAATGGAAATAAAATTTAAATCGAACATGTCACCAATTAACCAGAATTTTTTTTTTTCGACCTGTTTTTTTTTTCTGGTCCTGCGAAATACAAAATTGTTAAAAAAATTTTTTTATAGAAAAAAAATATGTGTATAAAATTGAAACAATTGAAATCAATTTTCAATTAAAATACAAGTAAACGAAATTTTAATTTTAAAATCAAACAGAATAATAAAAAAAACAAAAATATTATACATTTTATATTGATGTTTGTCACTAGTATATGTTGGTGTATTCATATATGTAGATACTATAAAAAAATTTTATACAAAAACTATGTTGCAGAAAATGCATATTGTTTTATTTTCAATTTTTGTGACAATGTAAATGAAAATCGGATAATTTTTAAACAAAAGGAAGAAAAACAATATAAAAAGCTTATATAACAATCACATATGTACATATTTGTATTTAATAAGGAAGAATTGCATATTTTTAGGCAAAAACGTATATTGTATTATGCATAACAATAAAATCACACCATATCCTTTATATTATTTTCAATATTGCTTTTTAAATTTTCGAATAACGAATTAAAAAATTCATTATTCGGTTTTTACCTCTTGAAATGATTTTAAGCTTGTGCGTACACAATATACTTTTAATATATGTACATAATTATGTATATGAAAATATTCATAAAATGTTTATTAATTAATTTTTTCCTCTATTTCGTATATTTATAAATATTTACGATTATATGAACAAAATCAATTTAAATTTTTATATTTTAAAACAAAGCAGTAAATTTTATAAATTTTCAATCATATATTACCATTTGTATTATATTCGTATTCAATTATCTGCTTGAACACTTATAATTACAATATTGAACTAAAAGAAAAGAGCTATAATATTTGCTATAAAAAAAATTTAATTTATTGTTACTTCAATACCTCAAATTACAAGTTATATCCTATACGAGGGTCACTATTTATATTTCGGGTCTAGCAATAAAAAACAAACATTTATCATTGGAAATGGTTTTATTGTTTTTCAAAATATTCCCCATGAAGATCAATACACTTTTGCATGCGCTGAAACCAATTTTCGTAGCACTTTTTCCACTCCGATTGAGACACCTCCAAAACATGGTTTTTGAACGCATCGACTGCTTCTTCAGGTGTTGAAAATCGTTGCCCACACATTTTTTTTTTGATGTGAGGGAATAAGAAGAAGTCATTGGGTGTTAAATCAGGACTGTACGGCGGATGACCCATCAATTCGACATTTTGAGTGCTCAAATAGTCCATTATTTCAGCTGATTTGTAAGAGCTTGCATTGTCATGATGAAGAATGATTCGCCGGCGCTGTGACTATCTTATATATCTTATATATCTTATGTCACTGTAAACAAAACAATTCGCGCTCGAATGACAAAACGTTCTGAGTGAAGTTGTCCTAAAAAATGTCAAACTTTCCAATGGAAGTGTCAGATTGCACCTGGCAGCACTAGTATTGCCAGGACCCGAAATATAAATAGTGACCTACGTATGATAAACGAATCTTTTCACTGAGCTTGAAGTAGTTGATCTATAAAAGAAGAGACTGTTTGTATTGGACCTCGCTGGTCAATATGACGTCTATTCAAAATATTTCTTCGGAAAAGTTGCTCTATAGGCGAAATGCTGGAGGCATGTATAAAAAATTTATTTAGTTCATATAAAAAAAAATATTAAAACAGAATTATTTGTTTAATTTATTTAAAAGAAAAAACTTTTTAAATAAATATTTATTTTTCTTAAAATAATAATAATTATAATTATAATAATAAAAATGCTGCTTATTAAAATATTGTAATTCAAGTGTTTTTATTTAAAAGAACAGCATACAATGTCATCTAACAATATTTTTATAGCCCATTATTATTTCAAATATAAAATATAAAAATTATATAATAAAATAAAAAAAATGTGCATTTACTTACACATTATTCTGACACATATAGAAGAGTAAAAAAAAATTCGCCTACAACTATCGGCCGAGAAGAGGATTAAAATAAATTAATATAATTGCACGTATATAAATGACAAATACACACAAACAAATATATTATTATTATTATGTACATGCCTCTCTGTACACGCGTTTTAATTATAATTAAGTATCATCATAAAATCAAGATAATTAGCTTCAATTTCCTTTTTTTTTTTTCTCTCTGTTTTTGTTAACCATGTCGTCATAATTCTACCATAAGAATAGAACAAGTACTCTTATACTATATTAAACTCACGTACCTAAATATAAAATTCATATATATAAAATATATTTATATAAATAATATAGAAAATGGAAAAGAAAAGGAAAGAAAAAAGTAAAAAAAAGAAAAACTAATTAAAATCTAAATGCAATTCAACCACAAATATAATTGGTAGAGAGCAAAAATAAAATTAAAAACAGAACAAAAGTTGAAAAAAAAATCTTTTATATACGTATGTATATATAGTATACAAAAATAAAAAATAATAAAAAATGGAGAATAAAACTATAAAAATAATAAAATAAAAAATAATATTTAAAACGCATACTTTAGAATGAAATTTATTAAAATGTTAAGAGCATATTCATTCTGTGTATCCTGTGCACAAATTATGTACCTGTATTAATATAGACTTATCATTATATGTATGTCATTTTACAATATTATAAAATTTACTTGACATTCTTATATTTTAAACCACATGTATGGATATAAAATTTCATAGACGTTTGTTTATTCATTATAACGGTATTACTTTAACACTAGAAAATAGGTTTTAGCTTTAAGGTATTTAAAGTACGCGGTACATAATCGTTACTTCTTAATACCAATCTACAGCAATACACATTAACCGTCTTACAGCAATAGTCATTTGCATAAAAATTATTTTGCATTTCTTTTATTTATTTTTTTGATTGACGTCTTTTAAACGAGAATTTCGAACTTTCAAAGCTTTTTCGAAATCAGATCTTCCATGAAATAAATCTTATCACGTTCTTGATCAGCCAGTATAATTTTTGAAAGTTTTACGAATTCGACAAGTAATATCGATATAATAACGGATGGCTAATCTGAAATTTCATCCCTTAATCCTTTTAAAATCATTAACAAAATTTTGTTTTAAACACGTTGTCAAATTGCGTTCTGGACAAAATGAATATTAGAGGTTCTCGATAAAATAAATAAAGGGAAATCGAAAGGGATGATGAGTATAAATCAGATTCGTAAAACAATACCAGTTCATATTAAAGCATACATATAGCTTCAAATTTTTGTTCAAATATCAAAATTTTCTGAAATTTTTGCACTTCAAAAACAAACATAATTTGTATTCCATATTGAATAGAAGTGTGCACGTTATTCATATTTATTTTAGGAACGTTATACTTATTCATATAGGAGAAATTTTTTTTGAAACATTACAAACTAATTTAATTTTAGTATTTGCATTTAATATATAACACAGCATAGTATATATGTACTTAGTTAAATTGAAGATCTTTTAAAATTTTTATTAATGTTATTCCAAAAGAGTACAAATTTCTTCGAGATATTTCTTATGTAATTTTTTTTTTTAAATATTTTTTTCTAAAGATAATTTTTGAATTATCAATTTATTTATTTACAGGCGAACGGCTTATACAATATGCAAGTGAAAATTTAGTTACTGAAATATTAATTCATCCCCAATATAATACTCTTATACAATGTATGAGAAATTTATTGAGTAGTTTTACACGACACAGACATATAATACATTCTGGCTATACTTTTTCTGGAAATGGTTCATGGATATTGCAGGTATATGATAGCTAATAAGAATATTAAATAATATTCAGTTTGCTTTTCCTTTTTTAAAATATTTTTGAAAATTGTAGGATGCAACTTTTTCTATGGCTGATTTTGCTGAAGCCTTTCAAGAACATGAAGTTCAACGAGTTCTCCGAGCTTATCCCGATACAATCACGATGAATATTCATTGTGCTGATGTAGGATTATGGTCTGTTTTGCCAGATAAACCATACACAAAATTATGTAAAATTCGTATCAATCCGACTGATGTCTTAGATACCAGCAATGAAAAAATTAATGAATTTATTGGTAAATATTACAGATATAGTTTAATCAAAATGTTGATAAAAAAAAAATTCTTTTCCCTGTTAAAATTATTGTTTTAAAAATTTTAGACTACTTAGGACCAATGTTGGTTCCAGCTGCACTGAATGATTTATTGGAAACGTCAGATGTAGTTGGAAATATACGATTTAGTCATCCTACTTTATATGTCTTCCCCGGTGGTCAAGGTGATGCCGCATTATTTGGAATAAATGGATTTAATATGTTAGGTAAAATTAAAATTATTTTTATAACTAAATTTTTTAATAAAACTTTGTTTTAGTTGACGGTGGGTTTAATAGAAAAGCTTGTTTTTGGGATTTTGTACGACATTTAGATAGATTAGATGCAGTATTAATGACCAGGATTAATAATTGTAACATAGGTGGTATGAGTGCTGTTATTGAACGCAAGCAAGGGGAGCATGTGTATCCACAAATTGGTCATTTTTTTAGCAATGTACCTGAAAGAAAAGGCAGTTTACCTAGTCCTGACGGTGACAAAGATAAGGATCCATTAATGATAGAATTAATTGAAAGGGGACATCACTTGGTTAGTAATTTAAGAAATTTAAATTTGAGGCCCCAAGTTTGTTACCGGGACTCCGAACCAATTAATTTGTACCATAAAGTAGGTCATGGTACACTGGATATGTATGTAATTAGCCCATCAAAAGACTCAAAAGAAGTGAGAGATTTTTTGCAAAAATGGCATACTAATGATAGCAAACTTTTTACATCTAAAGATTCAAAAGAATTTAATTTTCCGCTTCAAAATTTAGTGTCAATTTGTGCGATGCTTGTATGGCAACCAGCAAATCCTGAAGATACAATCACTAGAATTCTTTTTCCAGGAAGTACACCAGACTTTAAAATTATTGAAGGTCTTGAAAGAATCAAACATTTAGAATTTATGAAACATCCTATATGTACAGCAAAAAGTTTGGCTCCAGTGATGCAAACGGCGCCTGCAAGTAAAAGATATGTCAAAGCAACTCCATTAGAAAAAGCGATTCCCGAGCCAATCCTTCCGTCCAAGACCGTTAAGCCAATGCCAACGTCTGATTATAAAACTAAAGTCATTCAACAAGACAATAAAACCAAAGAATCTGAAGCGGAAATAATTCCAACTACGATTGAAGAAAAACCGTTGAAGCCAATAGAGGACCAACCAATCAAGGATGGTTTAAATGGGGAAATAGATCAAAAATCTGATGAACAAATTGACGACAACAAACAAGCCGACATGAAAGAATCTGAAGAAATATCTGACGAAATAGACAACAAAATAGCTACTGAAAAGAAAGTGGAAGTTGTCATTGTTAAGCCGCAGGCACAAGAACAAACCAAAAAAGAAGAAATAGAAATAAAGCAAAAGCAAAAAATGAAAACTGAAAAACCAAGAGCAGAGGTAAAACCGGTTGTAAGATCTCGAATAGATACGAAGCCTCCAAAGTCAATGGAAAGAAAAAGTCTTAAAAAAGATATCTCTAGTGAAAAAAAGTCTTCTCCAACGTCTACCCCTCAAAAAAAAGAAGTAGCCAAAAAGGATCATCGTGAAGTAAAATCTAAAGTTATGTCAAGAATCACAAAATCAAGCCCAAGTGGAACACCCGCAAAAAGTGCTAAAGATGCTAATAATCGAAAAGTTTTAGAATCTAAGCAGAAAGCGTCCACTAAAACTCATCGTGAGTTTACATCCAAAACTTCTGACAAAAGGGAAACTAAAGTTGAACGCAAACCGATTTCTAGACGCCCCCGTGCAACATCACCAACGAAGACACCTGGCAGTCCTATAAAATCGATGAAACCAAAATCAGCAAAATCTCGAATCGAAAAAGGAGGTACTACAACCACGGATTCAAGTCTGGTATCTACTCCCAGTGCGGATGAAGTAATTGGAAGTAAAAAAATTCAAGAAATCGAACAGCACGAAATTGACGCAATCAAACAACGCGAGTTGGATGATCTCAAAGAAGAACAAGAAGTGGTGAGAGAAATAGAAGCTGTTTTCAATCGCGATGAGCAAAAAAAAAAAGATATTAAATTAGACCACAGGGAAGTTTCAAAACAAGATAGTCAAACGGAAGCTGAGGAGGAAGAAGAATATTTAATTATAGAAAAAGAAGAAGTAGAACAATATACAGAGGATTCCGTTAACGATCAAGAAAGTAGTCTTACAAAAGAAGAGGAAATGCAAAAACACCAAAGAGACTCGCAAGAATCTGAAAAAAAAAGAAAAACCAGTGCTGAAGAAGAAATTGAAGCTGCAATTAAAAAAGCTGAAGCCGAGGAAAAAGGAGAATTTAAAGAAGATGAGCATGAAAAAGATGAAGATGAGTCAGGAAAAGAAGGTAAAATATATGATAAGAAAGTAGATGAACCTGATGACGAAATGCAACCAGACTCCATAGAGGAAAAAGTAATTTTAACATCTCATGAAAAAACAGAAATCAAAGCTGAGGTTCAAGAAATAATATCCTCAGCAAAAGAAATAGTTAAAGCTAAAACAGAAGAAACCGTAAAAACTGAAGAAATATCTTCGCCTACACCAGAAGAGAAAATTAGCTCAGCAAAAAAAACTTCTGATACAAAGGATGAAATTCTTGAAGTACCTGAAGCAAAAGAAATAAACTTACAAGAAAGTTTGCCAGAAGAAAAATTCTCAGCTACAATCGAGTCAGGTGCGACGACCGCACCCACACTACCTGAGGATGAACGCATACCCTTGGATGAAATTAAAGAAGACTTAGTTATAGAAGAAAAATATGTTAAGGAGGAAACTAAAGAAGTTGAAGTACCAATTTCTCCACCTAAGCCTACTATTATCGAACATGAAGATCGAATTTTACCTACTAAAATGCAATTTGACATGCAATCAAATCTTCTTCGAGATATTGTTAAAACACCAGATGAAGTTGCTGATTTACCAGTTCATGAAGAAGCCGAAATTACCTATGAAGATGATGGTAGTGAAATTAAAAAAAAACCAGAAACAAAAGATGAGGGGAAATCGGTTAGCCTTAAGGAAGAAGAAACTAAAGAAGAGAAGGAAGTAGAAGATGTCGCTGTAGATGTAGCGAAAACTGGAGAAGAGGTAAGAGGAAATTGTTAATTAAATAAATTAAAACGCTTTTCTAAAATTTTTAATAACAATTTTTTTTAGGACCAAGCAGTAGTAGAAGATCAACCTGAAAAGCTTGTTGAGGTACAAGAAGTTCAATTGGAAGTGGAGAAAACTGTTTCAACTCCAGTTGATGTTGCAGAAGAAAAAGTTGTTCCTGAAGCCATTGAAGGAGAAGAAATAGATGATTCTCTGGAAGAAAGAAGAACAGTCACTATTCCGAAAACGGAAAGCTTGCATTTAGACCTTAAAGAAATATCGACTCCAGCAGAAAATGCGAAAGTTGATGTTGAAAAAACGGTTTCTTCACCAGTTGAAACAGCTCCTGTGTCTCTAATTGATTCTAAGAATGTAGAAGGCGAAGAAATTGATGATTCAATCGATGACAAATTACATCCCATTATTGATAAATCAGAAACTGAAGCAAAAGAAAAGATAATACTAGAAGAAATAAGTGTTCAAAAAGTAGTAGAAATGCAAGATATCAGCGAGAAGGAACCGCTTTCACGTGAAGCAAGTGCAGCTACTTCAGAAGACGAAATTCCTGAACCGTTAAAAACAACCGGTAAGTCTGCTGAAGTTATGAAAAGAAAAAGTTCTGCTTCTGCCGAAAGCCCAACGACTGTAGAAGAATTAATACCTCTTGATATTTCAGAAACGGAAACCATTTCGCCAAAGGCTGTACTTATCACATCTACAGAACCATCGCACCTTACGCAAGCAGAATTAAAAGCGCGACGAGAATCTGCTACAAGTGAAAAACATTCGCCAGCAAAAGAATCTTCTCTAAAATCTCCTTCCAAGGAAGAAGAAGCAAAAGAGGAAGGAAAACGACATTCTGAAAAATCCATCTCGCCACTAAAAGAACAAACAAAGGAGGAAGACAAATCGCGAAGAGAGTCTGTTGTTAGTGAAAAATTATCACCATCTAAAAAATCAGAAATTGTGTCTCCTTCGCCTTCTAAAGAAGAAGAAGCCAAGGAGGAAGAGAAAGCAGAATCACGTAGAGAATCTGTTATCAGTGAAAAGAAATCGCCTATAAAAGAACCTTCTGAAAAATCCGTCTCGCCATCAAAAGAAGAAACAAAGGAGGAAGAGAAACCAGAGTCGCGAAGAGAGTCCGTTGTTAGTGAAAAGTTATCACCAGCTAAGAAATCTGAAGTCGTGTCACCTTCGCCATCTAAAGGAGAAGAAGAAGAAGCTAAGGAGGAAGAGAAACCAGAATCACGAAGAGAATCTGTTGTAAGTGAAAAGAAATCGCCTATAAAAGAACCTTCTGAAAAATCCATCTCGCCATCAAAAGAAGAAATAAAGGAAGAACAGAAACAAGAATCGCGAAGAGAGTCTGTTCTTAGTGAAAAATTATCACCAGCTAAGAAATCTGACATCGCGTCTCCTTCACCTTCTAAAGAAGAAGAAGCAAAGGAGGAAGAAAAACCAGAATCACGTAGAGAATCTGTTATTAGCGAAACGAAATCACCAATAAAGGAACCTTCTGAAAAATCCATCTCGCCATCAAAAGAAGAAACAAAGGAGGAACAGAAACCAGAATCTCAAAGAGAATCTGTTGTTGGTGAAAAATTATCACCAGCTCTGAAATCTGACATCGTGTCTCCTTCGCCTCCTAAAGCAGAAGAAACAAAGGAGGAAGAGAAACCAGAATCGCGAAGAGAGTCCGTTGTTAGTGAAAAATTATCCCCAGCTAAGAAATCTGATGTCGTGTCTCCCTCGCCTTCTAAAGAAGAAGAAGCAAAGGAGGAAGAGAAACCAGAATCACGAAGAGAATCTGTTATTAGTGAAAAGAAATCACCTATAAAAGAACCTTCTGAAAAATCCATCTCGCCATCAAAAGAAGAAACAAAGGAGGAAGAGAAAGCAGATTCGCGAAGAGAGTCCGTTGTTAGTGAAAAATTATCACCAGCTAAAAAATCTGACGTCGTTTCCCCTTCACCTTCTAAAGAAGAAGAAGCAAAGGAGGAAGAGAAACCAGAATCACGAAGAGAATCTGTTATTAGTGAAAAGAAATCACCTATAAAAGAACCTTCTGAAAAATCCATCTCGCCATCAAAAGAAGAAACAAAGGAGGAAGAGAAAGCAGATTCGCGAAGAGAGTCCGTTGTTAGTGAAAAATTATCACCAGCTAAAAAATCTGACGTCGTCTCCCCATCGCCTTCTAAAGAAGAAGAAGCAAAGGAGGAAGAGAAACCAGAATCGCGCAGAGAGTCTGTTGTAAGTGAAAAATTATCACCAGCAAAGAAATCTGATGTCGTGTCTCCCTCGCCTTCTAAAGAAGAAGAAGCAAAGGAGGAAGAGAAACCAGAATCACGAAGAGAATCTGTTATTAGTGAAAAGAAATCACCTATAAAAGAACCTTCTGAAAAATCCATCTCGCCATCAAAAGAAGAAACAAAGGAGGAAGAGAAAGCAGAATCGCGAAGAGAGTCCGTTGTTAGTGAAAAATTATCACCAGCTAAAAAATCTGACGTCGTCTCCCCATCGCCTTCTAAAGAAGAAGAAGCAAAGGAGGAAGAGAAACCAGAATCACGAAGAGAATCTGTTATTAGTGAAAAGAAATCACCTATAAAAGAACCTTCTGAAAAATCCATCTCGCCATCAAAAGAAGAAACAAAGGAGGAAGAGAAAGCAGAATCGCGAAGAGAGTCCGTTGTTAGTGAAAAATTATCACCATCTAAGAAATCTGATGTCGTGTCCCCTTCACCTTCTAAAGAAGAAGAAGCAAAGGAGGAAGAGAAACCAGAATCACGAAGAGAATCTGTTATTAGTGAAAAGAAATCACCTATAAAAGAACCTTCTGAAAAATCCATCTCGCCATCAAAAGAAGAAACAAAGGAGGAAGAGAAAGCAGAATCGCGACGAGAGTCCGTTGTTAGTGAAAAATTATCACCATCTAAAAAATCAGAAATTGTATCTCCTTCGCCTTCTAAAGAAGAAGAAGCAAAGAAGGAAGAGAAAACAGAATCACGTAGAGAATCTGTTGCAAGTGAAAAGAAATCGCCAATTAAAGAACCTTCTGAAAAATCCATCTCGCCATCTAAAGAAGAAGCAAAGGAGGAAGAGAAACCAGAATCGCGAAGAGAGTCCGTTGTTAGTGAAAAATTATCACCAGCTAAGAAATCTGACATCGTGTCTCCTTCGCCTTCTAAAGAAGAAGAAGCAAAGGAGGTAGGGAAATCAGAATCACGAAGAGAATCTGTTATCAGTGAAACAAAATCCCAAATAAAAGAACCTTCTGAAAAATCCATTTCTCCATCAAAAGAAGAAACAAAGGAGGAAGAGAAAGCAGAATCGCGAAGAGAGTCCGTTGTTAGTGAAAAATTATCACCAGCAAAGAAATCTGACGTCGTGTCTCCTTCGCCTTCTAAAGAAGAAGAAGAAAAGGAGGAAGAGAAACCAGAATCTCGAAGAGAATCTGTTATTAGTGAAAAGAAATCGCCTATAAAAGAACCTTCTGAGCAATCCATCTCGCCGTCAAAAGAAGAAACAAAGGAGGAAGAGAAACCACAATCGCGAAGAGAGTCCGTTGTTAGTGAAAAATTATCACCAGCTAAGAAATCTGACGTCGTGTCTCCTTCGCCTTCTAAAGAAGAAGAAGCAAAGGAGGAAGAGAAACCAGAATCGCGAAGAGAGTCCGTTGTTAGTGAAAAATTATCACCAGCTAAAAAATCTGACGTCGTGTCTCCTTCGCCTTCCAAGGAAGAAGAAGCAAAGGAGGAAGAGAAACCGGAATCTCGAAGAGAATCTGTTGTCAGTGAGAAGTTATCACCAGCTAAAAAAGCTGACGTCGTGTCTGCTTCGCCTTCTCAAGAAGAAGAAGCAAAGGAGGAAGGGAAATCAGAATCACGAAAAGAATCTGTTATCAGTGAAACAAAATCGCCAATAAAAGAACCTTCTGAAAAATCAATCTCGCCAACAAAAGAAGAAGCGAAGGAGGAAGAGAAACCAGAATCGCGGAGACACTCCGTTGTCAGTGAAAAATTATCACCAGCAAAGAAATCTGACGTCGTGTCTCCTTCGCCTTCTAAAGAAGAAGAAACAAAGGAGGAAGAGAAAGCAGAATCGCGAAGAGAGTCCGTTGTTAGTGAAAAATTATCACCAGCTAAGAAATCTGACGTCGTGTCCCCTTCGCCTTCTAAAGAAGATGAAGCCAAGCAGGAAGAGAAACCCGAATCACGAAGAGAATCTGTTATTAGTGAAAAGAAATCGCCTATAAAAGAACCTTCTGAAAAATCAATCTCGCCAACAAAAGAAGAAACGAAGGAGGAAGAGAAACCAGAATCGCGAAGAGAGTCCGTTGTTAGTGAAAAATTATCACCAGCTAAGAAATCTGACGTCGTGTCTCCTTCGCCTTCTAAAGAAGAAGAAGCAAAGGAGGAAGGGAAATCAGAATCACGTAGAGAATCTGTTGTAAGTGAAAAGAAATCGCCAATTAAAGAACCTTCTGAAAAATCCATCTCGCCATCAAAAGAAGAAACAAAGGAGGAAGAGAAACCAGAATCGCGAAGAGAGTCCGTTGTTAGTGAAAAATTATCACCAGCTAAGAAATCTGACGTCGTGTCCCCTTCGCCTTCTAAAGAAGATGAAGCCAAGCAGGAAGAGAAACCCGAATCACGAAGAGAATCTGTTATTAGTGAAAAGAAATCGCCTATAAAAGAACCTTCTGAAAAATCAATCTCGCCAACAAAAGAAGAAACGAAGGAGGAAGAGAAACCAGAATCGCGAAGAGAGTCCGTTGTTAGTGAAAAATTATCACCAGCTAAGAAATCTGACGTCGTGTCTCCTTCGCCTTCTAAAGAAGAAGAAACAAAGGAGGAAGAGAAACCAGAATCGCGAAGAGAGTCCGTTGTTAGTGAAAAATTATCACCAGCTAAGAAGTCTGACGTCGCGTCTCCTTCGCCTTCTAAAGAAGAAGAACCAAAGGAAGAAGAGAAAACAGAGTCACGAAGAGAATCTATTATTAGTGAAAAGAAATCGCCTATAAAAGAACCTTCTGAAAAATCCATCTCGCCATCAAAAGAAGTAACAAAGGAGGAAGAGAAACCAGAATCGCGAAGAGAGTCCGTTGTTAGTGAAAAATTATCACCAGCCAAGAAATCTGACGTCGTGTCTCCTTCGCCTTCTAAAGAAGAAGAAGCAAAGGAGGAAGGGAAATCAGAATCACGTAGAGAATCTGTTGCAAGTGAAAAGAAATCGCCAATAAAAGAACCTTCTGAAAAATCCATCTCGCCATCTAAAGAAGAAGCAAAGGAGGAAGAGAAACCAGAATCGCGAAGAGAGTCCGCTGTTAGTGAAAAATTATCACCAGCTGAGAAATCGGACGTCGTGTCCCCTTCGCCTTCTAAAGAAGATGAAGTCAAGGAGGAAGAAAAACCAGAATCACGAAGAGAATCTGTTGCAAGTGAAAAGAAATCGCCAATAAAAGAACCTTCTGAAAAATCCATCTCGCCATCTAAAGAAGAAGCAAAGGAGGAAGAGAAACCAGAATCGCGAAGAGAGTCCGCTGTTAGTGAAAAATTATCACCAGCTGAGAAATCGGACGTCGTGTCCCCTTCGCCTTCTAAAGAAGATGAAGTCAAGGAGGAAGAAAAACCAGAATCACGAAGAGAATCTGTTATTAGTGAAAAGAAATCGCCTATAAAAGAACCTTCTGAAAAATCCATCTCGCCGTCAAAAGAAGAAACAAAGGAGGAAGAGAAACCAGAATCGCGAAGAGAGTCCGTTGTTAGTGCAAAATTATCACCAGCTAAGAAATCTGACGTCGTGTCTCCTTCGCCTTCTAAAGAAGAAGAAGCAAAGGAGGAAGGAAAATCAGAATCACGTAGAGAATCTGTTGTAAGTGAAAAGAAATCGCCAATTAAAGAACCTTCTGAAAAATCCATCTCGCCATCAAAAGAAGAAACAAAGGAGGAAGAGAAACCAGAATCGCGAAAAGAGTCCGTTGATAGTGAAAAATTATCACCAGTTAAGAAATCTGACGTCGTGTCTCCCTCGCCTTCTAAAGAAGAAGAAGCAAAGGAGGAAGGGAAATCAGAATCACGTAGAGAATCTGTTGTAAGTGAAAAGAAATCGCCTACCAAAGAACCTTCTGAAAAATCCATCCCGCCATCAAAAGAAGAAACGAAGGAGGAAGACAAACCAGAATCGCGAAGACAGTCAGTTGTTAGTGAAAAATTATCACCAGCTAAGAAATCTGACGTCGTGTCTCCTTCGCCTTCTAAAGAAGAAGAACCAAAGGAGGAAGAGAAACCAGAATCACGAAGAGAATCTGTTATTAGTGAAAAGAAATCGCCTATAAAAGAAGCTTCTGAAAAATCCATCTCGCTATCAAAAGAAGAAACAAAGGAGGAAGACAAACCAGAATCGCGAAGACAGTCCGTTGTTAGTGACAAAATGTCACCAGCTAAGAAATCTGACGTCGTGTCTCCTTCGCCTTCTAAAGAAGAAGAACCAAAGGAGGAAGAGAAAACAGAGTCACGAAGAGAATCTATTATTAGTGAAAAGAAATCGCCTATAAAAGAACCTTCTGAAAAATCCATCTCGCCATCAAAAGAAAAAACAAAGGAGGAAGAGAAATCTGAATCACGAAGAGAGTCCGTTGTTAGTGAAAAATTATTACCAACTCAGAAATCTGACGTCGTGTCTTCTTCGCCTTCTAAAGAAGAAGAAGCAAAGGAGGAAGAGAAACCAGAATCGCGAAGAGAATCTGTTGTCAGTGAGAAGCTATCGTCAGCTAAAAAATCTGATGTGGGGTCTCCTTCGCCTTCCAAAGAAGAAGAAGCAAAGGAGGAAGAGAAACCTGAATCTCGAAGAGAATCTCTTGTCAGTGAGAAGTTATCACCAGCTAAAAAAGCTGACGTCGTGTCTCCTTCGCCTTCTAAAGAAGAAGAAGCAAAGGAGGAAGAGAAACCAGAATCACGAAGAGAATCTGTTATTAGCGAAAAGAAATCGCCAATTAAGGAACCTTCTGAAAAATCCATCTCGCCATCAAAAGAAGAAACAAAGGAAGAAGAGAAACCAGAATCTCGAAGAGAATCTGTTGTCAGTGAGAAGCTCTCGTCAGATAAAAAGTCTGATGTGGGGTCTCCTTCGCCTTCCAAGGAAGAGGAAGCAAAGGAGGAAGAGAAACCGGAATCTCGAAGAGAATCTGTTGTTAGTGAGAAGTTATCACCAGCTAAAAAAGCTGACGTCGTGTCTCCTTCGCCTTCTAAGGAAGAAGAAGCAAAGGAGGAAGAGAAACCAGAATCACGAAGAGAATCTGTTATTAGCGAAAAGAAATCGCCAATTAAAGAACCTTCTGAAAAATCCATCTCGCCATCAAAAGAAGAAACAAAGGAAGAAGAGAAACCGGAATCTCGAAGGGAATCTGTTGTCAGTGAGAAGTTATCACCAGCTGAAAAAGCTGACGTCGTGCCTCCTTCGCCTTCTAAAGAAGAAGAAGCGAAGGAGGAAGAGAAACTAAAATCACGAAGAGAATCTCTTGTAAGTGAAAAGAAATCGCCAATTAAAGAACCTTCTGAAAAACCCATCTCGCCATCAAAAGAAGAAACAAAGGAGGAAGAGAAACCAGAATCTCGAAGAGGATCTGCTGTCAGTGAGAAGCTATCGGCTGATAAAAAACCTGATGTGGGGTCTCCTTCGCCTTCTAAAGAAGAAGAAGAACCTAAGCAAGAAAAGAAACCAGAATCTCGAAGAGAATCTGTTGTCAGTGAGAAGTTATCGCCAGCTAAAAAATCTGACGTCGTGTCTCCTTCGCCTTCTAAAGAAGAAGGAGCAAAGGAGGAAGAGAAACCAGAATCGCGAAGAGAATCTGTTATTAGCGAAAAGAAATCGCCAATTAAAGAACCTTCTGAAAAATCCATTTCGCCATCAAAAGAAGAAACAAAGGAAGAAGAGAAACCGGAATCTCGAAGGGAATCTGTTGTCAGTGAGAAGTTATCACCAGCTGAAAAAGCTGACGTCGTGTCTCCTTCGCCTTCTAAAGAAGAAGAAGCAAAGGAGGAAGAGAAACCAGAATCACGAAGAGAATCTGTTGTAAGTGAAAAGAAATCGCCAATTAAAGAACCTTCTGAAAAATCCATCTCGCCATCAAAAGAAAAAGCAAAAGAGGAAGAAAAAGCAGAATCGCGGAGAGAGTCGATTGTCAGTGAAAAGTTATCACCAGCTAAAATATCTGACATAGTGTCTACTTCACCTTCCAAAGAACAAGAAGTAATGGAGGAAGAGAAACCAAAATCACGCAGAGAATCTGTGACGAGTGAAAAGTTATCACCAGCTAAAACATCTGACGCAAAATCTCCAACACCCTCCAAAGAGGAAGAAATAAAGGAAGGTGCAAAACCGGAATCGCGAAGAGGATCCGTTACTAGTGAAAAACAATCTCCAGTAAAAGAACTTTCGGCAAAATCACCATCACTCTTAAAAGAAGAAGAAACCATAGAGGCAGCAAAATCAGAATCACATAGAGAATCTGTGACAAGTGAAAAGCTATCACCAGCGAAAATACCTGAAGCAAAATCTCCTACCCCTTCCAAAGAAGAGGAAATAAAAGACAAAGTAAAACCGGAATCCCGAAAGGAATCCATTGCAAGTGAAAAAGCATCCCCAGCTAAAGAGCCTTCCGCAAAATCGCCTTCACCTTCAAAAGAAGAAGAAGCCAAAGAGGAACAAAAATCAGAATCACGAAGAGAATCTGTTGTGAGCGAACAGCTATCACCAGCAAAAACATCTGACGCAAAATCTCCAGCGCCCTCCAAAGAGGAAGAAATAGAGGAAGGTGTAAAACCGGAATCACAAAGAGAATCCGTTATTAGTGAAAAACAGTCTCCAGTAAAAGAACCTTATGAAAAATCTCCATCACCCCCAAAAGAGGAAGAAGCCAAAGAGCAAGCAAAATCAGAATCACGAGGAGAATCTGTTATGAGTGAACAGCTATCGCCAGCGAAAATGTCTGAATCAAAATCTCCTACGCCTTCCAAAGAAGGAAAATTGGAAGAAAAATCTAAACCGGAATCACGAAAAGAATCTATTGCAAGTGAAAAAGCATCCCCAACAAAAGAGCCTCCTGCAAAATCTCCTTCACCTTCAAAAGAAGAAGAAACCAAAGAGGAAGGAGAATCAGAATCACGAAGAGAATCTATTATGAGTGAACAGCCATCACCGGCGAAAATATCTGACACAAAATCTTCTTCGCCTTCCAAAGAAGGAGAATTGAAGGATGAATCTAAACCGGAATCAAGAAAAGAATCTATTGCAAGTGAAAAAACATCGCCAGCAAAAGAGTCGCCAGCAAAATCTCCTTCACCTTCAAAAGAAGAAGAAATCAAAGAAGAAGGAAAATCACAATCACGAAAAGAATCTGTTATGAGTGAATCCCCAGCAAAAACATCTGACGAACAAACTTCTTTGCCTTCCAAAGTAGAAGAATTGAAAGACGAATCTAAACCGGAATCACGAAAAGAATCCATTACAAGTGAAAAAGCATTCCCAACAAAAGAGCATTCCGCAAAATCTCCCTCACCTTCAAAAGAAGAAGAAACCAAAGAGGAAGAAAAATTTGAATCACGAAGAGAATCTGTTATGAGTGAAAAGCTGTCTCCAGCGAAAACGTCTGAGGCTAAATCTCCTTCACCTTACAAAGAAGGAGAATTGAAAGATGAATCTAAAACAGAATCACGAAAAGAATCCATTGCAAGTGGAAAAGCATCCCCAATAAGAGAGTCTTCTGCAAAATCTCCTTCACCTTCAAAAGAAGAAGATAGCAAAGAGGACGCAAAACCAGAATCACGAAGAGAATCTGTTATAAGTGAACAACTATCACCAGCGAAAATATCTGACGCAAAATCTCTTACGCCTTCCAAAGAAGAAGAAATGAAAGACGAATCTAAACCGGAATCACGAAAAGAATCCATTGTCAGTGGAAAAGCATCTCCAGTAAAAGAGCCTTCCGCAAAATCTCCTTCACCGTCAAAAGAAGAAGATACCAAAGAAGATGCAAAATCAGAATCACGGAGAGAATCTGTCATAAGTGAACAGCTATCACCAGCGAAAACATCTGACGCAAAATCTCCTACGCCTTCCAAAGAAGAAGAAATGAAAGACGAATCTAAACCGGAATCACGAAAAGAATCCATTGTCAGTGGAAAAGCATCTCCAGTAGAAGAGCCTTCCGCAAAATCTCCTTCACCGTCAAAAGAAGAAGATACCAAAGAAGATGCAAAATCAGAATCACGGAGAGAATCTGTCATGAGTGAACAGCTATCACCAGCGAAAACATCTGACGCAAAATCTCCTACGCCTTCCAAAGGAGGAGAATTGAAAGATGAGTCTAAATCGGAATCTCGAAGAGAATCTACTGCAAGTGAAAAAGCATCCCCAGCAAAAGAGCCTTCCGCAAAATCTCCTTCACCTTCAAAAGAAGACGATACCAAAGAGGACGCAAAATCAGAATCACGAAGAGAATCTCTTATGAGTGAGCAGATATCACCATCGAAAATATCTGACGCAAAATCTCCTACGCCTTCCAAAGAAGAAGAAATTAAAGATGAATCTAAGCCGGAATCACGAAAAGAATCTATTACAAGTGAAAGAGCATCACCAGCAAAGGAGCCTTCCGCGAAATCTCCTTCACCTTCAAAAGAAGAAGAAACCAAAGAAGAAGGAAAATCAGAATCACGAAGAGAATCTGTTTTAAGTGAAAAGTTATCACCAGCAAAAACATCTGACGCAAAATCTCCTACGCCTTCCAAAGAAGAGGAAGTAAAAGACGTAGCCAAAACGGAATCACGAAGAGGATCTGTTGTTAGTGAAAAACAGTCTCTGGCAAAGGAACCTTCCACAGAGTCGCCATCACCATCAATGGAAGAAAAAACGAAAGCCGAAGAGAAACCAGGATCCCGAAGGGAATCTGCTACGAGTGAAAAACTATCTCCAGCGAAAACGCCTGAAGGGAAGACTCCTTCCCCTTCCAAAGAAGAAGAAACCAAAGATGATCCAAAATCAGAATCACGAAGAGGATCTGCTATAAGTGAAAAGCTTTCACCAGCAAAAACTTCTGGTGTGAAGTCTCCGGCACCTTCCAAGGAGGAAGAAGTTAAAGACGAAGGGAAGCCGGAATCACGAAAAGAATCTTCCTCAAAATCTCCTTCACCATCAAAAGAAGAAGAAACAAAAGAGGAAGAGAAAACAGTATCACGAAGAGAATCTGTTATCAGTGAGAAGTTTTCATCCGACGAGAAACCTGACGAAAAGTCTGCTTCCCCTTCAAAAGAAGAGGACACAAAACAATCAATTGAGGAGGCATCTCGTTCATCGAAAATAGATGATTCAAAAATCAAATTAGGCAAAGAATCAGGCAAGTTACTTGAAGGCCAATTGAAAGATGGAGAGGAAGAAATCGCAGTTTTTTTCGCAGGTGAAGGTGAGTTTGGGTTTTTCGCATATTAAATTAGAAATTTATTTTAAGGAAATAATTTCAGATCACCAAATAGTACAAAAAGAAGCAAAAACTTCCAATATTGAGTTAGAATTAGAATCCAAGGAGCGGAAAAGCACGAGTGTATCTGGTTTTACAACAGAATTGCGAGAAACTCACATAACCACTTTAGATTCTCCTTTGGCAGATAAAAGTGTTAAACCTGCAACGGATTACAATATAGTGGTTTACGAAAGGGACGAAACTGTTCTCCATGAAATTAAAGAGGAAGAAGAGGAAACTAGGTCTTCACCACAAAGAAAAGCTAGTAGTGATGAAATAACATCTTTAGGCACCACATCAGAAATTTGTCAGATTCAGAGACCAGTTTCCCCTCGAGAGCAGGAAGTTGCCAAAATAGTAGCCAATGTTGCAGAAGTTCTCAAGTCAGACAAACCAATCACGGAAATAATTCCTGATTTTAATGAGGAAGAACTCGAAAAAAAATTGTCTCAAACTGTAGTTAAAGATGACAGTCAAACGGTTCAGAGAATGTTGGTAACTGCTAGTAGTGAAGATGGTGGCGAAGAAATTGAAATATGCCCTAAGGGAACAATTAAATTTACTCCGAGTGTAACGCCCGATGTACATTCTGGAAGAACATCGCCGGATATACTCTGTGAAAAAGAACTTGTTGAAGAAAAAATGCACGTAGATTTGTGTTCTAAAAAATCTTCGCCGGAGGAAGACAGTAAGGCTACAATTAAGTCTTTGCCTGGATCAGATAAATCTTCCCCTGAAATGAAATCTACTTCCTTTTCCATAGAAGAGAAGGATAAATACGAAATGTCTGAAAAGGGTCAAGCTCTTATTATAGAAAAAGAATTTAAGCCATCCGAAAAAATTCTTGAAAAAGAAACGGTTGCAAGTAAAATGAAAATAGTGTCCCATGCGTCATCACAACCCACTTCAGACGGGGAGGAACAAAGCGATGATCAATCATCTCCTGTTAAGGAATCAAGATCAAAATCAATCGCATCAATCATGATGACTAGTATATATAAGCCAGCTGAAGAAACAATTAACAAACTAACCTCTCTGTCCGAAAAAATTTGTGAGACTGAATTAGAAACTATCGACGAAAAATCGAAAACTGTCACAATAAAAGAAACGACCACAGAAACCACTAGTCAAATTTCTATATCACCAGAAACGGACGTTTGCAGAAAATTTTCAGATGAAGAAGTCAAAGCAGACAAAGCTGAATCAGCATTAACGTTACTGGAAATTTCTGACAGAAAAACACCACCAACAGCACCTGTAAGTCCTAACATAAAAGATGAGTACACAATGGACCATAAACAAATTTCCGTTTCCCAATCTGTTTTAACCACTTCAGCCACCAAAACCATATCATCATCGTCGATAAATGCAAAAGAAATAAATGAGTTCTCCGATACTTCATCGCCTAAAGATTTATCAGGAAAATCTAGTCCCGGTATGTTAACCTCAGAAAGTCGATCGATTCCCACTCCAGTAGAGCGTAGTTCAACTGAAACACCGGAATCTTCGCCGAAACCTACGTCTCCCTTCCCTAGAGTTAGTAAAGAAGAATTAAAAAGTTCTTCAATTATAAGTACGCCAGATGTCACTAGAACATCTACACCTGATATAACAGAAATCAAAAACTTGGAAAAATCATCGCTGACATCAAGTACTGAAAAGATAATAACAACTACTATTACCACAATTACAAAAATAATTTCCTCCGATGGGAAAGAAACTGTTACAGAAGAAAAGGTAATTACAACAACAGACACTAGTGACCCAGAAAAGGAAAAAGTGACGGTAACGAAAACCAGAACAACAAGCGAAAATGAAAAAGCCGATGATATACCGCAGCAACCCGCTCTCCCAACGACAAAAGAAGTTAGCGCTTTAAAATCTGAAATGAGAAGCTCAACTCCAGGAAGTGACGATTTTGACCCACATGAGATACAATCCCCTAGGTCTGACATAAGTTCGGGACAGGCATCTCGTGTTACAGAAGATGAAGAAATTCCGCATTCACCATTTAGCGCAACATCACAAGCAGCTCATTCACCAGCTTCAAAGTTTTCTTATGACTACGATTTACAGCACTCTAGTTCTGGAATTAGTAAAAAGTCTGACATCGATGTAGATGATAGCCAAGATGATATCCCTCCACAATACGGAAGCGAAGAATTACACTCGGCTCTTCCAGTAACAATAGCGCACAAAACAGATCCAATGAGTACTTCTTACTACGGTGCACTTCCAGAAACATTGAGCGATATTAAATCAGAACCAATAGCAATTGTAAAAAAAACACATACAACATTTTCACAAGCACATGAAGAATCATTTAAACCGTCAGAAGGTGATAGTAGTATTGCACAATCTTCTTGGTTATCAAAAAAACCCGATACAAAATTTTTAGATGAAGCGGATTTAGATTTTGAAAAAGCACTGGAAGAACATAGGCAATTACGTGGTGAAGAAGTAATGTCATCGGTTACAGCTAAATATTCTTACTCACCGTCAAAAGGGGAAGTGGTATCTGAATCAACAGAATCACGATTTCCATTAGAAGATCCACTACAAAAAATTCAACAAATTAAAAAACAATTTCCATTAGCTGAAGAGACTGCCAAAATAGAAAGTAAAGATGAAAAAGCAGTTAGTTCTAGCAGTAGTAGTAGTACTAAAATAGAATCTTCATCTAGTAAAACTACTAGTGAAAAAAGTATAGAACAAAAAGAAACAGAAGGTATAAAAGATCCAGCAAAAGTGTGGGGTAAACCACTAGGGCTTCCATCGCCAGCACCTGTTACTAGCGAAAATGATATTAGGACAACTCCAAAAAGAGAAAAGCGTTTAATTTTAAGTAAAACAAAATTTAATAATGAAAAGAATTTAAGAAAAAGATCCGAATCACCAGTAAAAGGAGCAAGAAAAAATACTCCAATTTATATGGACCTAACTTATGTACCTCATAATGGAAATTCTTATTATTCCCATGTAGAATTCTTTAAAAAAGTTCGAGCTAGATACTATGTATTTTCTGGTACAGAACCTAGTCGTCAAGTTTATGATGCATTATTAGAAGCTAAGCAAACATGGGAAGATAAAGATTTAGGTATGTATAAATAAACAAAATAAGTGTAATCTATTATTAGTATACTTTATCTTAAATTAAAAAAAAAATTGTAACCTTAATTTACTTCAATGAACTTCCACTAAATATAATTATATATATTTTGCAGAGGTTACTATAATTCCAACATATGATACAGATGTATTAGGATATTGGGTATCAGAAAATGAAGAACTTTTAGCTAAATATCATATAGATTTATCGCCATCAGCTTCAAGATGTACAATTAATTTACAAGATCATGAAACATCATGTTCAGCCTACCGTTTAGAATTCTAGGCCACGGGAATGTTTATAGCATTTTCTTCTGACATTCATTCCCAAGAATTTAGTAATTAAATTTAAAATAACCAGATTTAAATTGAAATGACACAAAAAAAAAACAAAGATATAAAAAATTCAGTTCTTAAAATTTCTATAATTTTTAAAATTGAGTAAAACCAATAAACTGTACAAATATTAATACAAACGTATTAGATAATAGCTGATGACAGTTACGGGCAACCATTTTTATATAATGGTTGAGTATTTTTAAATAATCGTTCTGTCATTTATAAAGCTAATTATCTATATATTGAAACGTTTGGTTTTCTTTAAATTCAAATCGAACACATATAAATTAAAAATGAAAAAAATAAAAAAGAATATTTCAAATTAAATAAAAATAAGTTTTGATACAGGTACACAACACTTTTATTTTCATAAATATTTACTATATATATATATTTTCAGTATAATATTATCTGAAAAGATTAAAAACAAAATTGTTATACTGAAAATATTCAGAGAAAATGAAAGTTTGGAAACAAACATAATGTTCAAATGTTAAAAACAAAAATAATGTTTTATAAATGAAAACAATTAACAAAATTAATTTAAAAAACAAATATAGTAAAAATATTTAAAAAATATTATGTGCCTCTAAAAATGCAATTGTCATGTTTATTTTCTTATTTGGAATTTATACATTGTTTTATTTGTAGATAAAATATTAAAAAAAAAAAAAAGAGATATTGAGAAAATATTAAATGTATTATGAAAAAAAAAAAATAAGAAAACAGAGAGAATAATTAAAAAAATATGTTTAAATTTTTGCCAGTATCAAAGAACTGAGAAAAATTTTTATAATTAAAAAATATTGTTTGTTGTTACAAATTACACAAACTGTTATTTTTCTTAATATTAATTATATTATTTAATTTCCCTATATTTCTTCTTTTTTATTAATACCATGTATATATTTTATAATACACACACATATTTAAGAATTTAATATGTTAAAGTTAAAAATCCTTTATAAAATATTTTGTTTTTAAGTTTATATACTATAGAAATACCAAAAAAAAAAAATCACATTGAAAATGCTATAAATAATAAATAAATAATTTAAAATAGAATAGGATAATAAATTTATAATAGTGGATTTTAAAAGAGATTTAATTTATATATATATATATTGTATTACACAATATATATATAATAAATAATATTTCTCTAAAACTCAAAAAATTTTAAATATTAACTCATAATTTTAGAAAAAAAAAATAAAAAACAAAAAACAACAATATACAAAAAATTAAAATGTCAATTTACTTGCAAAAATAATAATTAAAAATTAAAAAATAAAATAAAACAAAATGTTCTTTAAACTTTCATATAATAATTTTAAAAATTCAATGAATTTATTTTCAAAATGGTTTCATAAAATATCTTTATTATAAATAAACTATATAATATTTTTTAACTGTTATATTTATAATTATAAAATGTATGTTAAAACAAATGAAAAACATCAATTTTAAATACATACATATATATAATTATTATATGAAAATGTCAAATGGTCGATATATATTTTTAATTTTAATTCATTTCAAAAATATAACGTGATATATATGGCAATATACTTTCATATAATGATATAGCTGCGCTACAACCTATACACATATTAATTTCGTTATATTGCGAAAAAAGTAATCATGTTTATAAACAAACTAACTGTTAACAACATTTATTTATGAACATAAAAATAGCGCAGTTTTTAAAAAATTATATTGACCAAATTATTGATTTTTTCTTGTATTTTAATATTTTATTTTCGTTTTATATTAATATTTTCAATAATAATTTTGAAATTAAAGCAATTTTAAGCCGTTCCAATCCCTTTCCTTTCAAAATAATTTCATTTTGTAAATCGATCATTAAAATGTTATTTAATTTCAGAACATAAATTAAAAAAAAAACAACAAAATAATATTAAAATACTATAGAACTGGAAGAAAAATAATAGAATTATAAAATCCATATTAAAATAATTTGTTTTTCATTTAAAAAAAATCAGTAAAACAAAAAACTCCATTAATTATAATTATATAAAAGAGGTAAATAATTAAAATAATAATAAAATAAAAAAAACGTGAGATAAAAAAATAAAAATTTTAAGTTTATTTATCTTATATATAATATAGAATAAAAATATATAGGTTATACAATTAATAATAAATAAATATAAATATAATATAAGTTTATATAAACATATATACATATTAACATATATACATATATGCAAATATATATAATATATACATGCAAAAAAAAAACGAGAGAATACTATAGGAGAAATTTTTGAGATATTTGTCTCATATTTACTTCCTTGTATGTATTTGAAACATTCATTTTTGAAAGATTAGATATTGCAACAGATATATATATATATATATATATATATATATATATATATATATATATATATATATATATATATATATGTATATTAGTATATATAAAATTATATAATATAAAGTAAAAAAACAAATTAAAAAAATTATAAAAATATAAAATTAAAATGGCCGAACACTATGATAATGACATGCAGAAATATATCAGAAAAGTGAAAATAAAATATATATTATAATTAATTTAAATAAATGTATAAACATTTATTAGGTCAAAAGTAATTCTGGATTAAATATAAAAAAAAATATATATATATATATATATAATAACATCAGAAAAGATAAAGAAAAACAAACAAAAAAGAATATATATAAAAACTTATGAGCTAATTTTTAATTTAATAAAAAATAAGGAAATCGTCCATATCTTAATTTTCGATTATATATATATACATATACAATATATATATATATATATACATATATATATTTTAAAAGTGCAAATTAAATTTATTTGATTATCAAAAGAAAAAGAATCAAAAAATAAAATCATAAAATTTGAAAAATAAAATTTAAATACATATATATATATATATATATATATATATATATATATAATAAAAAAAATTAAAAGAATTTAAGATGACAAACACAAATATTTCATTCATAATATGCCATTTTTCTAAAAAAAAAAAACAAAAAACAAAATTTTAGTTTCCTTTGCACTTTAAAAATTTCGTGTATTAAATTAACAATACAAACATAAAATTACATATAATATTAAAAATATCATCATAAGACCCACGTGGAAATGTGCTTCAATTTATACATTAACATTTTTATATAATAAAGAAAAAAAAACATATGCATGCAATATTTTACAAATTATATTCATTTTTTTTTAAACATACATACAAACAAAAAATTTAAATTAAAATATCAAAATAACAAAAAAAAAATTTCTAATGACAAAATGCTCAGTCCGTTTTACATTTTAAAAAAATGAATATAATAATATTAAAAACTATATATACAATTTATTTATAAATATATATATATATGTATATATATATGATTATATATATATATATATATGTATATGTGTATATAATAAAATAAAATCTAACAATATATACGTTTATATATGTATATATATATATATATATATATATATATCACAATATGAAATATATAATTCAAAGCAAAAAACAAATTATTATGAAAAATTTTACATTTTAAATACATAGAAAGTTATAAAATAATTTTTTTTATTTTTATTGCACCCACATATTATTTTGATATATATACAAACAATATATTATATATACAACACCTATATATATAGTTTTAATATTAAAATAATGGAAAAATTTTTATTCTAAAAATTTTTAATTTTACTTTTAAAATAATAATTCTTTAAACCGAAAATTTATTGAAATTGCAAAAATGAATTTCATTTTTTGAATATTTTTTTCTTTTTTTAATTACAAATAAAAAAAAATAAAAATATTATGTACTAAATATATAAAATTGTTGCACCGTCCACGTATTAAGTATATATATATATAAATATAATATCAGAAGTAAAATAATTAGGACTATATATACTAAAAAAAAATTGACTTTAAATTAAACACACACATTATATAATTATATATATAACAAACAAGAAGTATATGAAATGAATATAGTTTTTAATGGAGAAAATAAAAAAAGAAAAATACTAAAAATGTTTAAGCATATATGTTATATATGTTATATATGTTATATATATGTTATATATGTTATATATAACATATATATGTGTATACATAACATATATATAACATTTATATATATATATATATAAACACATATATATGTTATATATATATATATATATATATATATATATATATATGTATTTTTAACTAAAAAGCAACTTTAAAAATTGAAAATAATTATAAAATTATAAAAATGAAAAAAATAAAAAAAAAAAATAAATAAAAAACTTGCTGTGAAATTCTTTGATAGAGAAAACTAAAAAAAATAAATAAGAAACTTTGATTAATTTAAAGTGAAAACCTTCTATTATTATATAACTACTAACAAAATCAATCTTTATTATTCCTTTTTTTAATTAATTAAATTTCGTTTTTAAATGATACATAAAATATAATTTTTAATTTAATCCCCATCATATAGATGCCATTTTAGTAGAGCACAATTCCACATTGAAAAAAAATTTCATGTAAGTTTTTTATATTCGCATTTTTCACATATTTTTTTTTTAATTTTTCCTTGTTATTTAATAAAACTTTTATATGAATTTTTTAATATTTTTTTTTCTATTAAATATATGAAGGCGGATATTAATGAAAAGGAACGCTTCGCATTTTTGTTTTTGTCTTAAATGATTGTAAATATATAGAATATATAAACATATATAGGAAAACATTTAATAATTAAAAAATAATAAAGTATAATAATAAAGAAAAACAAAGTCAAATATATTAAAAAATTAATAATTCAAAGGAAAAAGAAAATAAATGAATATGTATGAAAATAATTTTTTTATTTTAATATTATAACAAACTGCATATACATATATATATTTGTTTGAATAAATTTGAATATTACATAAAGATTTATATATATATAAACCATTCACTTCGTATTTTAACGTATAACTAATTTATTATTGACAGTATTTTACTGACAACAATCGTGTTGCTAATAAAATTATATTTTGCATATTGAAACATTTTCTGAGTATTGAGTCACTAAATGATAGTAATAGCGTTATCGTAAAAATTCAATACTATTATTGGAAACACAAATCAATTGTCTATAAATGATTTGTGTCTATAATAATGTTTTTAAAACTTTTATACGATAAATATCACTATCATTAATGATAGTGATACGGCAACATCAATATGAAATTAATGTCGTTATAATAGTGTTTTAAAATTTAAAATGATTTTCACAATGAGAAAATGAGTAAATTATTTTACGATCATAATATGATCGATATGATACGGTATAATAGATACGGCATCGAAAGTTGTACACATATAAATATTTATGTAATATTATATTGTTCTACATACATATATTATTATATATGTATATGCATTTATATACATCATTGCTAAATATATAATTTAATCACTGAATTGTGATGGATCCTTTAAATATGGGAATAAAAAAATATTAAAATTGAACTGATTATGTTAGGAAATATTTTTTAAATTTAAAAAAGTAAATGAGAATAAAAAAAAAGAACAAAAATATAGCAAAATCAAAAAAGGAAAAAAATTAGTTGATTTGGAATTTTTTTTTTTGTAATTTTTTGTAATTTTCTATAATTTTAATTAATTGATGAACGATCTATGATCATATTTTTGTTTTAAATAAAAATAATAATTTAGAACCATAAAAAAAGAAAAGAGATGCAATTTTATTTGACAATTTTATATTTTTTTTAGATATAATAATTTTGTTTTTAATGATTTTAAGTAATGCATGAGTTTATGTAATCCTTGATTTATATGTATAGATTGGACAAAAATTCAAGTCAGTACAAAATATATTCCTCAAGATGATATTCCTGTTGCAACAATGTGGAAGAATCATTTACTATTATTTTATGGATCAATATTACATCTTGAAAACGTTTAATAAAACAAATGAAATAGTTGATTAAGAACAACCAAAATTCAACATAAAAATTAAAAATGGAACAATCTGTTAAATTGCATCTCTTTGGCTGTGCGGTCTACCTTTTATACACCTACATAAACATTGAACCTATATTTATATAAAATTATCCCAAAAATTTAATCAATTATTTATATAAAATATATTATGAAGTTTTAAACGAAAAATTGAAAAGTGTATACCTAACCATATTTTTTAACAAGCCTTCTTTTTTTTAACAATATTTTATTATTTGCAAAAAAAAAAAAAATATTTTAATTTTTACTTAGTATCACTTATTAGAATTCTTATTAGAAAATAAATAACAAAACAAAAAGATATTAATTTCAATTTAGTTAAGTGTAAAAATTTCAAAGAAAAAAATATTTATATATATCAAAAAATAAATGAGAATAAAATTAATTTCATGAACTTGCATAATAGATTTTTTCAAATTTTTTACGCTTGAACTTTTATATTAAGGTATTATTATTATATATATATAAATTATATATATAAATAAAGGGCAGTAATTAAGAGTGTATGACGTAGGTGTTCTTAAAAAAGGCAAAAAAGAAAATAATAATTATTTTATAGCAATTTAAAAAAAATAATATTTAATATTATTATAATTAAAAAAAAAATATATAGTTAGATTTTTTTTATTTTAAATGGTATAATAATTAATTTAATTATATATACTATATAATATGTGTATAGGTATAAAATAGAATATTATATCTCAAACAGACATAGGCGAGATGAGAAGAAGTGCTTTTTTCAAAAATATTATAATAAATAAAATAAATAAATAAGTAATAAAAAATAATGAATTTTTTTTATAGGGTAGAAAATAAATGAAGCATTTGAAAAACAGAAAGGAAATTAAAAAAAAAAAATTAATAGCATAAAAAATTAAAAAAAAAAACATTTTATCTTTATCTAATCAATTATTTTGTTCTTATTACACGGAAAAATCATTATTTTATTTTTTAATTAAAAACACTTAAATTCATATAAAATTTATTTGAATATTTTTTATAATTTAAAACAGTCAACACTATTATGTTAAAAGTAATATTAAAATGCATATATATATATATATATATAAAGTGATCTTATACTGTTTGTGTATGTATATGTATATTGCGACTAGCTTTAAAACAACCAAAGACAAAATAAAAAAAATTGATATTCTGCTTAATGCCTATAATGGTCGAACATCAACTGTATATATGAATAAGGGAATATATCGAAAATTTCTAAAGAAAAAAATTTCAAGAAATACTCCATACAATAGAGTCTAATAATATCCTAAAAGGTTATTAAGGCCATGAAAATTTTTATAATAAATTACTTCATATAAATTCTATGGATTTAAAATTTTAAAACGGTAATCAAAATGGAATATACCAAATTTTTAATTAACATAAAAATCAATTTTTCAATTAAAACATCTAACATTTTCTGAAATCCAGATAGATTTACTACAATATTTAAAATTTCTTAAACTCATTAATTAATTCAACTATACGTGAATTAACAAATATTGAAAATTCTATACAAAAATTCTATTTCAATATTAGTTCCCTTTACAAATTAAAAAACAAGAACCTATTATACAATAGAACAATAATATTAATTACAATCAATATATTTATAGAACAATATATGTATAACTACATACAAAATTTTAAGAACAAAATAAATAAAAGATCACATACTTATAAAATATATGCATATTTTAATATTATATATACAACATATACAAATTTAATTATTTAATTTAAAACAGCAAAATAAAGAAGGAACAAACACTAAAAAAAACAAACAAAAATTTACAAATAATCATAATATGTTTTATTAAAATAAAAAATTAAATTAAAATTATTATAATAATAAAAAAAAACTCACATCTATATTAAATAAAAAACATAATTATTATTTATTTAGGAACACATCAAATTATGACTTAATATTATATATAAGTCTAAAAAATATTAGTAAAAAATTTTAAATTCTTACATAATAATTAAAACTATAAATATATATATATATATATATATGTTTATATAAAGGTATATACATATACATAAAAAGTGCTCATTTGAAGCAGCAAAAAAATAAAACAAAATAAATAAATAATTGATGAATAACATATAGCTATATATTTAAAATCAATTCAAAAAACTAAACATAAATATTAAAAAAAAAATTAAATACATATTATTAATTATTAAAATTTAACAAAAAAAAACACTTTAATTCATTTAGCAAGGACAAAATGAAAAATTAATAATAATTAATTTATATGTATATATATATATATATATATATATATATATATATATAAATCTATATATATACGTATATATATTTTAAAGTCTCATGTATAAAAAATTTAATTGAAACACAAAAAAAACTATATATATATGTATATATATACATTTATATATGAAATATATTTAGTATATATATATATATATATTGAATAATAAATAAGTTAAATATAAAAACAACTTGAATGTTACGGTTTATCAAATTAAAAAACAAAATATATGAAAATAAAATTATTAGAAAATACATGTATTGAAAATCAATAAAAAAAAATGAAAAAAAATAAAATAAAAAATTTGAATTTACTAAGATAATTATTATTGAAAAAATTACAACATTTAAAACTAAAAAAAAATCTGGAAAAAATTTAATATTTCAAAAAAAAAAAACAATATAGAATTCTTATTAAAATTTAATTTTAAATAATAAGAACAAAACATCAAAATAATAAATATACATATATGTATATATATATACAAATATATATATATATATATATATATATACAAATATATATATATATATATATATATATATATATATATAATTTTACTTTAAAAGAAAAATATTCAAAAGAAAAAGAAATTTCAATGCCCTATTCGAACTATAAACATTTATATATATACCTATATAAATATAAAATTATATAATAGTAGATGTATATCAATAAAATGTATAACTATATAAAATTTATTATAACACTTAAAAATATATTTATTATATTAAATTTATTTATTTTATATACAATCATTTAATTAAAAATTATTTATATACTTATACTTTTGAAAATATTTTGTAATTATTTCTAAATAGTTTTAAATTAAATATTTTAATTATAAAATTAAAAAATTAAAAGTTAATTTTCTTTTTTTTTATATTAGCAATTTTTCTATAATTTAAGAAAATATGAAAATTAAAAATGTTGAAGTGACATTTTTATTAACTTTTCAATTGTGAATTCAATTTGATATTATTTTTAAATTAATTTGATTTAATTTATAATTTATATAAAAGCACTTAATTTGATATAAATATATATATATATCAGTATTTCTATTAAATAGTTTTAAAAATACATATATAAATCCTAAATGTATATTTCTATATATACATGTGTAGAAATATAAATATATATATATACACATATATATATATATCTTATAATTTTTTCATACTAAAAAATTAAATTGACACTATAAAACATGAAAAAAAAATACTGCATAGCATTATTAAAAAAAAAAAAAATAAAAATAAATCGTAAAAAAAAAATATGTTACATAAAAATGTATTTTAGTTGTAATTTATAATGTAGAATATATAATTTTACCAATGAAAAGCTTGAAATAAATATTATCGAAAAATTACAAAAAAAAAATGTTTTATTAATTTTATTAATCATTTCCATGCAATACAGCAGCCCACTGCCTCAATTTCGGCAATATCTATATTGTTGAATACTTTTTGCGATATTTTTTATATAGTTTAAATGTTGATGTCTCTAAATGTTGATATACCCTTATTTCTAATACTTTTATGACATTCTAATTGAATTTACAAATTATTTCGAAATTATCCAAGAAAATAACTGTAATCTAACAAATTTAACGAACAAAATAATAATTCCTTTTAATTTTTTATACATTTATTACAGAAAACAATATCCTTTTCAGGTAAAAATAATAACTTTTATAAAAAATTAAGGGTGGTTTTTTTGTTTTTCCACCTTTTAATAAAAATATTCAATATAGAATTAATAAAGTTTGTCTGTGATTCGAAAACATAATTAAAGATTTTAGATACCTAAGATAATACATAAAAAATGTAATGAAAAGAGCCTACCTTCAACAGTTAATTTTACTAGAAATGAGCGGTAAAAATTTTGAAACGGTAACACTAACTAACAACATTTTTATTAAAAGTTTGTTGCTAAATGTTTCCTGATTAAATTGTATATTAATATTAAGTTTTCAATTATTTTTACTACTGTTGTATTTATATTCTATTATATTATCTTAATTTTATATTGCTCAGTCATTCCTTCTAAGTAGTCTTTGCTTTAGTTTCATTATAAATTTTAAAATATTCAAAATATTAAGTATTGAATATTCAATGACAATGGTACCAACGTAAAAATCTATAGACATTTTCTTTATATTGTGAATTGTGAATAAGTAATTGCTGTCATGAATAAGTAATTGCTGTCAAAATATTGTTTTGACAATTTGGCAAATTGTCTTATTTCCCTTTACAAATTATTTTTATCAACAAAAGTAATTAATAAGCATTTTGATGAATAAATAGTATTGAATATTTTTATTTCTTCTCGGTTGAAGACAATATAACTAAAAATGTCTTCACTAAGATATAGGGGTAAAAAAAATATTTTAGAATTAACTAAGAATTTGGATGCATTTGGAAAAATTCCGGTAAATTTGCTTATTCCCTGTTTACGTGTTTTTTTTTACCCAGAAACTTAGATTAAACTGATTAAATATTTTTTTTAGGATGAGTATAAAGAACCGTCTGAAATTGGCGGAACAAGTAAGCGAATTCAATATTATCGATATCATTATTTCAATTTTATGCTAATACATATCAATTTTTTATTTGCAGTTTCTCTTTTAAGTCGAATTCTCATTATATACTTAATTTATAGTGAAATAGCGTATTATAGTAGACCTAAATTATTATTCACATTCAAACCTGATATAAATTTAGACATAAAAGTTCGTATGAATGTTGATATAACTATAGCGATGCCTTGTGTTGGACTATCTGGTATAGATTTAATAGATGATACAAAACAAGATGTTTTTTCTTATGGGATCTTAAAAAGAGAGAGTATACTTTTGCATTGTATAAATGAATTTGAATTTCTTAAAACTCAATAATTTCAAATAGGTACTTGGTGGGACTTAGATGCAAATCAAAGATTATACTTTGAAGAAATGCAACATGTCAACAAATTTTTGCGAGAAGAGTATCATTCTTTAGCAGATTTATTATTTAAAGACATAGTAATGAAAGAACAAGAACATAGCACAAGTCTTCATAACGAACTGCCAAGTCGAACAAGTAAACCAAATATACCTTACGATGCTTGCAGATTGCATGGAACATTTTTAATAAATAAAGTTGCAGGTAAATCTTTTTACAATTTCAAAATTTATAAGTACCCCAATTATGTACTTAAAATACAATATTTAGGAATTCTGCATTTCATTAGTGGTGAAACTTTATCTTTTGGATTTTCCAATAACCACTGGCACTTAAATGAATTTCATCGAGTACGAACAAATTTTTCACATAGGATTAATAAATTAAGTTTTGGGGATTTAGCATCTCGTGTAGTACACGTCCAGCCATTAGAAGGCGACGAAAAAATTGTTCCTGGTAAGAAAACATATTTAATTCAATTTTAATCGATTCTAAAAATGTTCTCGATGAAAATATTTTTTTACACAGACAAGGCTGTAATGCAGTACTTTATAGAAATAGTTCCAACAGAAATCCATAACGTATTTTCTACAATTGCAGCGTATCAATATTCGGTTAAGGAAAACGTAAGAATAGTTGGTAAGTATTATTTAGACGACTCTTTTTATTATTCTTAAAAAATTTACATAAAATTAAAATCAGACCGAAACTTCAATAAATAAAATTTTATTTAAATAGTGTAGATGAAGTTAAAATATTCAAATTCTTAGTTTCTTTTATATAATACCAAGTTACAAATCCGGTAATCAGTTGAAAGAAAGCGGTTGTAAAAAAATATACAACTATATTAAAGTATTGTGTATTTAAATAAAGAATAACAGTAATATAACTGATATGTTCGATTACTAACAATAAATAATTAAAAAAGGGTTTCGAATAAAAATCAAATACTTCAACCGCTAAAATTTGAGATGACATACTTAAACCAAAACCAATAAATGATTGATAGAATATTATTAATATACCTAATGCAAAAAAAATAGAATTAGAGAAATATGTATCAGTGGATCCTTGTACGTTCATTACTAAAACAGCAATAGCTATTAATAACAGACCGCAAACCACGGTTGATATAATAAGAGGCCATCTACGACCAAATCGATCGATAAATAATATAATCGTAATTTCTGTTAAAAATCTTGGTAACAAATATGTTACAATACCCTCAGATGAACCAATCAGCCACGTTTCATATGATATTAAAATTATATTAATTGTAAGTGCAGTTCCAAATGCATATGTTATTCTAATAAGGGCAATTTTTATAAATTTCATATATTTTTGTTTGTCGAACGATATAGATGGAATATACATATTTATTTCCTCAGCACCATGTTGTACATACGCATTCATCATTTGTAAATCATTTGCAATATCAAATGTTTCGTAAATTTCATTACGATATTTTAACATTATATTTCTGGCTTCAATGTTATTGCCTTTATGAATCCAAAAAATAGATGATTCCATAAAAAAATAAGATGTACTACCAATGCTCAGTATGCCGCATAAAATCAATATGATTCCATTTGTAAGCCAAAATAAATACTGATTCGGTACAGAATTTTTAATTGTTTCTACAGAAACTTGTAATCCAATTAAAACGCCTAATGTTATTCCAACTTGAAGTGATGCCACATGTCTCCCACGTTTAGAACTAATCGAAATTTCACTGGCATGTATTGCACTAGAAATACTTATTAATCCATAAGCTACACCCGATAATAGATTACCGATTATGAGACCATATAAATCATTGTATGCAATCAATGATAATATTCCATGAACAATTATTAAAGTACTGCTTATATACTAAAAAATTTGAAAAGAAAAAAAAAGAATTTATTATTCTTATCACTAATATCAAATATGTATTAATATTTACATTAAATATTTTTTTTTCAATTTTGAATACTGTAAGAGCAATAATTAAGGCTCCAAGAATTGAACCAACATAAAATATTGTTGAAAATCCTTTAATTTTAGCTGAGCTAAAATTCGGTTGAATATTACTATATAAAGTCCATGATATTACTAAACCGGCTGCGATCCGTAGTAAAAATGCTAAAAAATTTAAAAACTATAAATAAAGTTGATATGAAAAATATGAATTATAAATGCAGATTATTTTATTCATAATATTTATAGTTATAAATGAAGAATTATAATTATTTATTCAACATTTTATAAGAAATAGAATTTTAATAACCTGGTATAAAAACATTGAATAATTTCCAATTGCTTTTGAAATATGTAATTGAAGTGTACGTTTGATTCCCCATTTGAAAAATTTCATTATCTTGAGTGTTATTACTTCTTGGCTGACTCATACTTGCTCCGAACAGTTAAAGATTTACATAAACACTAAATGCACAAAATAAAAAAAAATTTATTGAATTCTTCAAAAAAAAAAAACAAGCACACACACTGGTTGGACCGCAAAAATTTTTTATAAATAAAAAACTTCAAAAAAAATTGATCCAATATTTTGATAACGACCTGTAATAACCTTGCAACTTTAATGATATATAGCTATTAAGTAAACATCTGATAAGAAAAAAGTAAATTTTTCATAGACCTATGTACACGCTTTAAATTATTTTTGTTCTTTTTTATAATTTTTTATTTACATATGTATCATAAAAAGTTTAAAAGCTTTTGAATATGATTTTATAAGTAGAAATTATGCGGTTTGTCGGTTATCGGTTAAGTTCTAATTTCATATTCGTTTGATCGACACATAATATATAACTATGCAAAAAAAAATTTAACATAGAAGAATAAATATATTATTTTTAAAATATTATAGAATAAATAGTTACACACGTTTACATACATATTTTCAGATTCACATAAAAATTCATATGGATTGCCTGGAGTTTATTTCAAATATGATTGGGCTGCACTTAAAGTAATTGTAAAACCAGATAGAGAGAATTTAATAAAATTTTCAATCCGTCTTTGTTCTATAATCGCTGGAATTATAAAAGCCTCAGGTATTAAACATAAAATAACATTATATGAAAAATGTTAATAAATTTTTTAATTTTTTATATAGGTATTTTAAATAGTTTCATACGTTTTTCACAAAAACATATATTAAGATTTTTTGCACCACATATTTTCAATAAGGATGGTACATTAACTAAAATGAAATTACCAATTGTAAATGCAAAAAGTAAATCAGAACCATTAATAACTACAAATTTTATAAATAATTCCAATAATTATAATAATGTTACAAATAGTTTATTAAGTAAAGCAAATCTCATACCAAATGAAACATTACCAATCTTTTTAAATAAGTGATTTTTAAAACAAAAAAAAATTGAATTTTATTAAAATTATTAATTTTTTTTTTTTATTATTGTGTGCTATTGTTAAATAAAATAATATTGTATTAAAAATATAAAAGACGTGCCGAACAAAATTGTATACATAATATAAGCAAAAAAAAAAACCATATTATTGATTTTTATTTTAATTTATTAAAATCTTTTATATCCCATTATTATTTTAATTGCTTCAATTGCTGTATTAACTGTTAAGTTAGCATCACGTTCATCACCAAGTAATGGATTAATTTCAACAACATCAAAACCGGTAACGTTTCCTGTATCATTCAATTTTTCTAAAATATAAAATATTTCACGTAAATTAAGTCCACCAAAAACACTTGTTCCAGTACTAGGAGAAATACTTGGATCCAATGAATCTTGAATGAAATTAAAAATATTAATTAAAGTATATTTAATAAATTAAATTAATATATTTAACAGTATATAATATAACATACCAACATCGAAACTAATATGAATTTTATTATTGCTACCAATTGATTTAATTATAAAATCCATAATTGTCGGAATTCCTAACTTCTCAATATCCTGGAAAAATTAATAAAAAAAAATTAGTTAAGAGACAAATTAAAAAACTTATCATTAAATATTCACCATCATTCCGAATGCCATTATTCCTTTTTCTCTTATAAAAGATTTTTCAAATGAATCAAGATCTCGCAGCCCTATATAATAAAGATTTTTGGCTGGTAAACTGAAAATAAGAATAATTATTATATTTTAAACATTAACATTTTAATATAATTAAATTTTATGTAGATTGCTCGTATATGATTGCATTCGTTAGATTTAAATTTTACTGTAATAAATACTGAACCGTTATAAATTAGTTAATTATTACAAAATTTGTGTAGGTTTAGAAATATAAAAAGATTCGTTATAGTTTGCTATAATTATTAAGATTTTAAGATTTGATACTTAATTAAATAATTGAAAAGGAAAAATATTTGAAATAGATTATGTACTTATCAAATATGTAATATGTAATATTGTAATATTGTAATAGTTACTGTATTAAATAACAAAAACAAAAAGTGAATTTTTCCCTCTTCAGAAGAAGAAAAGTTCAATGAACACGATCAAAACAAACTTATGGTTTACTGTTTTCCTTGCCTTTTTTTCTTAATTTTATTTGCATTTTGTTTCACATAGTAAGTAGTTATTGACTGCGTATACGTATGCTTGAAAATATAAAATATTTATAAATTTATGTTGCATATGGTATATATGTGTGTACATATGTACATTGTATTATACATGTATTGTAAAGCAGAATTTTTATTTGATTTTTGTAAATGTGTTGCAACATTAATCCAACCATATTACTCTATATGAAATATGAATATTGAATAATGAATCTGACATATCGGATCGGAATTATATGTATATGTATATATTAATTTCTTTTATAAAAATCGCCGCCACACACATTCAAAAAAAAATTCAAATTTTATTAGAAAATGAGATTGGGAAATTATTTTAACAATCGGCAATCGGCATTTTATTGTTTTTATTTTACTGATTCATTTTACACATTATTTATATTTACATTTACATAATACATACGTATTCTCTTAATGTTATTTCTTTATAGTGAGAGAGATTATGTTCAACCGCAATGCAATATAATATACGAACTACAATAAAAAATTTATCGCTGAATTTTAACACGAAGGAAATGAAATATATTTATATATTTTCCCCTTGATTACGCCACAACTGTAATTTTTTCTCTTTAAAATAATTTCCCATCTAAATAAACTCAGTAAAAAAAAAATAAAAATCCCAAACCCATTTGCTTTTTAAGTTTTATATATGTATGAAAATGTATATAGTATTTTTGTCTCATATTAAATACCGAAATTTTATACAAAACAAAAATCGTTCATATTAGACAAAAAATTAATTTAAATGGTAAATTGTATACCGTGTGTTACAACAGTAAGATTTTGACGCAAAGTAAATATTAAGAGAAAAATTGCTAATTTGAAATTTCATTTATTGTTGAATATATAGGACTGTTGTAAATATTCTGATGATTTTTTAACCATAGCCTTACAATTATTATTTAACATATTGATGAGTCAAGAAAATAAGTTAAAAATTTTTACCATATTGATTACAGAAAGTTAAGCAAAATTAATATTTGTTTAAAAATAATCAAAATGTGTCAATAATATATGACACTTAAAAAATGATATGGTCCACAAATCGGAACATTAAATTTTATTTAGTTAAATATAGGTGAGTAACCGTATATAGTTATCTTTCTCTATCAAATTTTTTATTGTGATTGCGCAATAGCTATCTCGTTTAAGCCATTCATCTGTTTCATGATATATTATACATTTTATACTGTAAATTTTACCAATACTATTAAATTCATTTTAAAAAACTAGCAAAATGGTCTATTATTATTGTTATGAATACATTTAAACATTATATACGCATATACTTATTTTCTTAAAAAGATTTGACGGTGTAGTCCAAGATTTATAAGCCAAAAATTTCAAATGTTTTAAAATATGGTAATTTAATATTTTTACCTATGTGATGGAAAAACAGATTTTTGTTTATCAATTCAAATTTATTTTTGTTAATTGAACAATTGATTTTATTATATCAATTAATTTTATGTATTATTACATACATACATATTCCTATATCATTGCTATGTAACATAAAACTATAATTTTAGTATTTTTGGTATTGAATTTTACGCTATATAGAAAATAATAAGTAGAATATTTTACGAAAACATTAAATTATAAAACATATAACTTATGCAGTTTACTGACATAAAAATTTTTCGTTATAATTTGTAATAGCAGCAAAATTCTGCAGCAGAGAAATGACGTATTACAGCACTGTTTTCCAATTTTTGTTTCTGCCATTTTTTTGTAAATAAACGGCAATTTTTATTGAGTGCAAATACAAATTATCACTGTTTTTAATTTTGGTGCTTCTAAGGTATGCACGAGTAGTTCTAAGGTTCCTGTTCATGTCAAATTAAATTTTAGAATAAATGTATGTAGAATCGAAATTTGACATCACAATAAATCTGATGGAAAAAAATGGAAATTTTTAAGCATGTATAAGAAAGTTGGTTTTTATCCCTTTGAATCATTTATTTATCATATATAAGTTTATAGATCGGAAATATTTGAAACACTACTGTTACAATTTCGACATAAAAGTAGAAAATTTGTGTGATGTCTGAATATTCATCAGATTTTATCTTAGAACATAAGAGATAATTTGCACCTTACTATATATGTAAAACATAAGTTGATACTGCAAACATGAACTCAACTTATGTACTAAGTACTAAGATACATATACATCTTGGTTATCAAAATCTAATATCTACTAGCCGAGATTATTACTTTTAAAAATCTTATTTGCTAAGCTAATTAATTTCATAATGCAATATAATGCATTCAACTCTTATACTAATTTTTATCTAATATTTTTGTTAGCTATTTTCTTTTCATTTAGTTGAATGAATTGAAAAAACAAACCAAAAGAAGAAAAAAAAAAGTAATTTTAATTCTATCTCATTCTTATAAATTGCGCTTTGATTCTTTTTCTATACTTTTCTATAGATTCATATACAGAAAAAAAAATATATGTATATAAAAAATAAAAATAAAAAAATGAAAAATCACTAGCTCTTCTCTATATACATTCATCATATAAATTACATTCATACATAAGTATAGAAATACACGACACTAGTACAACACTACCATAAAATCCCATTTCTTTTGCCGACATATCACTTTCGTGCGAACCTTTCAAGAAATTTGTGGATTTTGAAATTCTATCGTCCGTGAATTAAAGTCGCTTGGTTTTTAAAAGAAAAAAAAAAATTTATTGTTCTATATTTAAAAAAATAAAAGAAAAAAGGAGAAAAAATAAAAGTAAAAAAATTTTACACAATTAATTTTTATTTCTTGAAATAAATAAAATTTGAAATTTAAATATTTTTTACTTTTAAAAATATTTTTTTTTTTATAAATTTTTTCTTTTGAAAAATCAAATAGAGTAGTACGACTTAAGAATAAAAAATATTTTTAAGTGAATTCCGCCATAATAGATTGATGATAGAAAAAAATTCACAAAAAACAAAAAACAAAAAAAAAAATTAAACGTAAGGGAAAAAATATTACAATTAGATAATTTTTACGCAAAGAACAGTTTCTTTTCATAATTTTTATAAATTTGTGCATAGTCAAGGACTAAATTAATAATTAAATAAAAATTTTTTTATTGATTCCTTTCAGATAACAAAATTCTAATTGCATATATAAAAAAAAAGTATTATTTATTGCCACTTATTTAACTTAGAAAAAAAAAAATTAGAAAATTATTTGTGCTTCTAAAAATTTTTTCTTAATAAAATTCTTAATTAAAAATTCTATAATTCTACATAAAGTATTTTAAAGTAAATAATTAACAAAACAAAAATTCATCCAAAAAAGTTTGATTTAACAAAAATAAATATTAAAGATTAGAAAAATACAAAAGGAAAAAATCTAATAAGAAAAAAGATCAATTGAAATTTGTTATACATATACAAAAATCCTAAATTGAAAAAGTAAAAGTTTTACAAGAAAAAAAATTTCATATTAGAAAAATCGATATATTGATTGGCTCTATAAAAGAAAAATAAAAAATAAAACCAAAAAGAAAAAAAGTGAACTTCCAACACACTTACAAAAAAAAAAAATTTGTTGGAGAAAATTTCCCCTTCAGCAAAATATATAAAACAAAATTTGATATAATATAGAACACACTACACTACCCTTTCATTAAAAACAAAGTACGTACATATATATATATATATACCATTATATAAAATAAATAAATAAAAAAAAAATATTAATTCTGAAAAAAAAAAAAGGATAGGATAAAAATCAAACTTTTCTCTTTTAAATAAGGAGAAAAAAAATAATGACAAACGCTGGTGGTGTTGAAACACAAGCAATTAATCAAACAGCAGCAGGGCAACAACAACAAATTCAATTACAACAGCAACAACAAGTACAGCAGGCAATTATGCAAGTTCAACAGCAACAAGCTGCAGCTGCTGCTGCCGCTGCAGCAGCAGCAGCTGCTAATCCAGTCGGTGGTGTTTTAGCACAAGCCGCAAATCAAGCAGCTGCTACACAAGCTGCAGTCGCTGCTGCAGTACAACAAGCACAGGTACTTATATATATACGGCATTTTTTTTTTTTTTTTCTGTTTTGTTATATTCAGCAAAAATAAAGAAAAAAATAATTTTTATTTTTTTAATTTAATATTAGTGAGAAAATACATGCATACACACAAAGCATATAGTTTTTATACTTATAATTAATTCGTGAAATTTTTTTTTAAAAGCCACAATTTTTAACATTTTTTTTTTTTGTAATATTTTATAATTAAATAATTCTAAAATTGAAATTATATAAATATTAATATAATAATAAAAAGGCATATATATATATATATATATAATTTTCAACTTTAAATATAATTTATCAATCCTTAATATTTGATTTTAGATACATACAATAAGTATTTATGTAAATATATGTGTGTAGCAGGTACATATATGCCTTTTGTGGAGATATAATTGATATACACATATATTATAATATATGCAAATTAAATGCAATAATAGGGTTTCTATGATTAATTAATACAAAAAAAAAATTTTTTTCTAGGTTCAAGCAGCTCTACAACAGCAAAACGGTAAAATTATGGAAACAAATGAAACTCGAACAAATCTTATTGTTAATTATTTACCACAAACGATGACTGAAGATGAAATTCGTTCATTATTTTCAAGTATTGGTGAAATTGAAAGTGTTAAATTGATCCGAGATAAAAACCAAACATTTTTGGATCCATTAAATCCAAATGCAATTAAAGGTCAAAGTCTTGGTTATGGTTTTGTTAATTATGTTAGACCACAAGATGCAGAACAAGCTGTTAATGTATTGAATGGACTACGTTTACAAAATAAAACAATAAAAGTATCATTTGCTCGACCAAGTTCAGATGCAATTAAAGGAGCTAATTTATATATATCTGGTTTACCAAAATCAATGACACAACAAGAATTGGAAAGTATATTTTCACCGTTTGGTTCAATAATAACATCACGAATTTTACAAAATGCTGGTAACGAAACACAAACAAAAGGTGTTGGTTTTATAAGATTTGATAAAAGAGAAGAAGCAACACGTGCTATAATTGCATTAAATGGTACAACACCAAAAGGTTGTACAGATCCTATTGTTGTAAAATTTTCGAATACACCTGGCACAAATACAAAATTATTGCAGCCACAATTACCAGCAGCATTTTTGAATCCACAATTAGTGAGAAGAATTGGTGGTGCAATGCATACACCAGTTAATAAAGGTCTTGCACGTTTCTCACCAATGGCCGGTGATATGTTAGATGTTATGTTACCAAATGGATTGGGAGCAGCAGCTGCTGCTGCTGCAACTGTTGCTGCTGGACCTGGTGGAGCATATAGTATATTTATATATAATTTGGCACCCGAAACTGAAGAGAGTACTCTCTGGCAATTGTTTGGACCATTTGGAGCCGTACAAAGTGTTAAAATCGTTAAGGATCCATCAACAAATCAATGTAAAGGTTATGGATTTGTATCAATGACTAATTATGATGAGGCTGCAATGGCAATCAGAGCCCTAAATGGTTATACATTAGGGAACAGGGTATTACAAGTCAGTTTCAAAACCAACAAACCGAAGTAAATATCTTTTTTTATTATTTTTAAAATTAAATTTATAATGTAAAAGTTTTTTAAATAACAAGCCTTTGATTTATTTGTGCTGAAAGTTGGTATTTTTTAACATTTTTGATTTTATTCGCTTAATTTTTTTAGTTTCTTTTTGCCTTTTAATTTGTAAATAATACCATTTTGCAAACTTTTTATTTCTTTTTATACCAGATTTTTTTAATTTTTATAATTTTTACTTTTGTTTGTTTATTAAATCTCAACTAAGTATATTTTTAAAAAACACACAAAAAACACTATAATACTAATTTATTTTCTGTCTTTTTTTTAAAGCTTATTTTAAATCAATATTGTCTAAAGCCCATTTAAGAACAAATCTTGAAGCAAAACAATTATTAAATCCAAATTTAAGTAAGAGTCACAATTAAAAAAGAAAAAAAATACTAAAATTTAAACCTACTATTGATTAATTACATACTATTTAAAAAATACTACCTATATTTAAGTTTGTTTATTATTTAATTTAGTTTTCTTTCTTTCTTATTGTTTTCCCTTTTTTTTTAATTTGTTTGTAAAAACTATTGAAATAAATGATTCATTTTATAAAATTTCAAAAATATATATATATATATATATATGTATATATATATTATATTACATTTATTAAATTATATTTTTCTTTCTAATATAAAAATATTTTCAATTATCTATATTTTGATAAGTTTATTAGCGAATATATTAATATTTTTTTTAAATATTTCAGTGTTTTAGCAAACTAAAAGAACCATGCCTAAAAGAACATTGATGAATTCGACCAAAGGTGTAAAATTGGTGTAATATCAAATTTATTAAAGCACACATTTCTCTATTTATTAATCCATGTTTAAGTGTAAATGGGACGAAAACAGAAATAAGAAATAATCATCAACAGAACCTTCAAGTTTTTTTATATTTAAATATTTTATGTACTCTTTTGTTTTTTTTCTTCCTCTTAAACTAAATTTAACCTTGTCTTAATAAAATATATGATTGTTAATATAAGACTTGGTTTAGGAAATAATTTTTGTTTTTTTTTTTTTATAACAAATATCAATGAGAACGAAGCTACTAAAAGTTTCGATTATTTCGTAAATGCTCTCATAATCTCAATAAAATATTAAGTAATGAAAATAATTAAAAAATTGAATTTTTAAATCACATTTAAAGAAATTTATTTAAAATAATTTGCAATTCAAAAAAAAAAAAAACAGAAAGTATTTATTTATTTATTTTATTTTTATTTCTTTTTGCAATAATGTTAGAATATATATTTATTGTATAAATGTGAGCTCTAACGAAATGATTCGTAAAATATGAGAAAAACATTTTTTCTAACATAATTATATATACAAGAACAAAGAAGTAAAAAAAAAAAGATTATTTATAATATGCTTTACAAAAATCATAATATGTAATTATACATAAATGTACTAAAATATTATAACGACTTTATAAAAATAAATATTAAACGTAAACCTATAAATATTGTGCACCATACATAAGATTTAATAAATAAATAAAAAAAAAACAAACAATTTGTAATCAAACAGAAATAATTTTAGTTCTTAATTTTAAGAGATCATATTTTTTTTTTTTAATAGCGATTAAGTTTTCTTAATAATTACAATAAAAAAAATTGAATATAAATGCTAAAAAGAATATAAATCAAACGAGAGATATGGCAAAAAATTTTTGTTCATAAAAATAAAATAATTTATTTAAATTGAACATTTCTAATAAATAATAACTTAAAAAAAATATATATTAACAAAAATGGAAGATTTCAAAATAGGATAAAAGAAAAAAAAAAAACTAAAAGCGTTTCTAGTCAAAATATTTTAAAAATTAAAATTTTATTAAGGAAAGATAATATATGTATGTATAAAACAGAGAAAAAACAAATTGAAATTTTTTAAATAAATAAATTTAATAAAAATACGTATTTTTATCGTCATAATTTTCTTTTTCTTTTCAATTTTTTATTTTAAAAATACTTATTTACTCTAAATATATTCTTTTTATTTTTCATCTAAAATATACGATTTTTTTTTTGTTCTTAAATAATTTTCTTAATTTTTTAATTTAAAACAAATTAAAGTAAATCCGTATACTTTGATAAAAGAACAAAAAAATATATATATATAATTGGATTAATAAAATTATTTTTTCTAATTTTAAAAACAAAACATTTTTTTAAATTAAAAATATATAAAAATTATACATGAAATATTTATAAAAACTATAAATAAAAAAAACAACCTGTGGCAATATATTAATTTATATATAGAGTAGTAAAACATATTACGCAGCTTAGAAAATATTTATTGTTTAAAATTTAAGCAAATAAAACAAAAGAAAAATCAATAAAAATAAATTGATACAAAAAAATATATATAAAAAAAAAACGAAATTTTTTACACATATGCGTTCCATTTTTTATACGGTTATTAATTCCATAATTCCTTAAATTAAAAATAAAATCGTTTTTCTTCACAATTCTAAATTCAAAATCAAAATAAAATTTTTGTATTAATGCTAAAAAAAATACTATTTATTATTATGATATACATAATATATCACAAACATAAAATATTTACTAGAAAAAACAATAGGCAAAGAAAAATACATAAACGCATTTTCTCATTTTAATTTTAATATTAAAACTAAAATTGTCATACCTATTTTAAATTGTGCTATGTTCTATTTAAAATAATTTATTGTTGAATATATTTGCATTAATTTTTCCTATTAGTAACATTCTATAAGTCTTTATAAAACATCGTTTGGTATGATTTTCAAAAATTAAAGAAAACCAATGTTAAACAAATCATTCCAATATAAAAAGTATTAATTTCAAAATAAAAAAAAAAATCGTTCTTATTTTACAAAAATATCCTAAAGGAAAACATAAGTTATCCGTTCTAAAACTTAGTTACAAGATATTAAATATAAATTAAATTGTTTTATTTGTTCGAAACGGAATACTTTTAAAATAGCTGACCTTTAAAAACTCCTTTAAAGAGCAGCGTTGTAATATTTTTTGCCTTGAAAATGAATTAGTTAATTTCTTCTAAACCAACTTAATTTTATTTATTAATTATATAATTCGGATGAACTTTTCTTTAATCTTCTTAATATTCATTTATTATGAAATATTTAATTATAAAAACAAAATATGATTAGAGAAATAAATTTTGAAATATACAAAACATTTGTTTAATATTTATTGAATAAAACAAAACTAATTGAAAAAGTCCATTCGAACAGTTTAAAGCTGTAACAATATATGGAATTCTCACAATACCAATTCTTGCTAATTATGCACGTTTTAGCTCTTTATGTATGATTTAGCCCCTTCCCATCATTTATTTCATTAAATTAATTAAAATGAGAAAATTTATGTGATGAAAAACTTTTTTAAAAGAAAAAAACGTTTGGGTATTATAAAAAATGTGTTATCTCATTTAAAATTTTTTAATTCTTAAATAAATTTAATTTTAAATTTAATAAATAAATAAAAAAAAAAAGAATAAAAATATTTTTAAAACGAAAAAAAACATGTATTTCAAAATGATTTTTTTTTTTAAATTCGCATAAAATTATGACGCTCTATAAATTAAAAATAATACAAAAAAAAAGTATGCAAATATTATATATAGTTTATATGTATATGAGTTTAACTAAATGTATATAAAATATATTATAACCAATGAAAAAGATAAACATATACATATATTTATATATATATATATTAGTATATATAAAAATATGATTTTTTTTTTGTTTGTGCAATAGTTTTTAATCTTAGATAAAATATTTTAAAATATTTATTTTATAAAAATTTAAAAAAATTAAAAAAAAAAAATTTAATAAAAAAAAAAAAACAAACAAATTCATTTTCAAAATCATATTTATTGACTTTGAAGATTTTTAATCGAATTATTTAAATTAAATGAAAATAAAATATGAAAATAAAATAATAATATTAAGATAGGAAGAAAAGAAAATAAAACAAAAACAAAAATATATTAATAAACAATACATAAACACATACACAAAAAAAAACAAAATTTTCGTATTTTTGAAAAAGAACAATAATAATATGTATTATTTAACCATGTAATTATTTACATAAGGTAATATTGTAATTTAACATTCGTTGTTATTATTAAATGTCGGTTAATTCATGTAGTATGTGTTATGATTGTGTATAAAATTGAGGCTTATTGTATTTTGTTGCAATAATTAAAAAAAAAAAAAGAAAACAAATATTTTTTCTTTTTAAATATCTTTAAATTCAATAAAAAGTATATTATGTGTGTAAATATATATTTTAGAATTATAAATACCCTTAAAAAGAATATTTTTACACAAATCACTTTTTATATATAAATCATGTATTAATGATTTATATCTTTACTAAATCATATCTTTCATATTTTTCATAGAAAATTAATATTTCACGAAATTCTATAGCATTTGCTATGTATAACTTATTCAAACAAAATGGAGAAAGAATGATCGTTTTTTATTTTAAATTTTCCAGCCACTTTTTGCTTCTTTTTTAATCAATTAAACATTGAAAACACTAATGAACTATACTAACAAAAACTTAAATATTAAAATCGAAAATTAAAGGTAAAAGTGGTTAATGTAATAGAGTCCTGAACGCTGTATATCGCAAATAATTATTTCAATTATAAGTTATAATAATTAAAATCAAATATAAAAGGGTTAATTGACTGATTATGAAAAATAAAATCAAATTGATCAAACACACATATTAAATTTAATTACAAAAAAACAAAATTTTTCTTTATTTATTTCTGATTTTAAATTCAAGAAATTTTTACAAAAAAAAACAATTAAAAATATTAATTTAAAGCTATTTAAGAAGAAAAAAAAAAATTGAGTGAAAAATCAAAATTTCAAAATAATAATTTTTTTTTTTTTCTTTTTGCCGACAAAATTCAATTTTAATAGTTTTTCAAATATTCAAAAACAAAACAAAAACAAAAAAATATTTATAAAAATTTATTACTATTTATTATTTATAAAAATATATAAATATATTTGATTTATATATGAAATTTATATATGAAAGAGACTAACATTTTAATGTGTAATTTATGTGTTTCCTTTTAATTTTAATAATAATCAAAAACCAGTTAGTTTAAAATTATACAAAAAGAAGAAAAGCAATGAAAATTAAAAAAAAAAAAAATTCTTAATTTATTTAAAATTTATTTTTTGATTAATTTTAATTTTGATTTATTTACTTTTGTAATTTCATTTTCCTTATTCTTATTCAAATTATAGTTTTTGTATTTAAATATTATTTTAAATTAAAGAAAACTTTATTTTAAAATTGAAACACACAATATTTATGATTTTATTTTTCAATTCTGTTTTTTCCTTTGGTTTTTTTAAAAATTTTTTTTTTTTTCTTATGTTTTTAGTTTTAATTTTTATGTACAACCAATATTTATAATTCACAAATATAATATAATGAATTTTTATAATAAACAACAAAAAAAAAAAAGAATGAAATATGAATATTGTCATGTAGTAATAAACATATATAAATTATATTTGGATGGAAAAAATTTTTATTTTTATTTTATTTTCTTAAGTTAATTAAATTTTTTGTTTTATTTGCCTTCTTATATTATAAATTTCATTGTACTTTTCTTTATTTTTATAATTTATTTTAATTTTTTTTTTTTTTGGGTATGGTGTTTTTTTTATTTTCATTTTTATTTTAATTTTTTTTTTTGTATTGATTGCAATATCAAATATTATTTAAATTTTTAAATAATAGAATATAATATAAAATATAGGGTAATAATAATTATAATTGTTTCTATGTCATATATCTGGAAAAAAAATTCTTATAACTAATATAACACATTTACAATACATAGTACAATTAATATACATTATATATATAAATATAAAGTGTTATATAAAAAAAAAAGAAAAGAATTAATTTTTATTTATATTTCAATTTTCTTATTTTTTTTTTGTGGTTAATTTTTGTTTTCAAAAAAAAAAAAGGAAATTATATTTTACCGAGTTGATTAATTCAATAGCAATTGAATCATCTTCAAATGTATCACAAAAATAATTTAATGTTTTCAATTAAAATAAAGAATATAAATCGTTTAATTCTGAAAATATTTGCAAATATAATAATTATTATTTTAATGCGGTGAATTATTTTCAATAAATTTTTCAAAATGTAAAATAAATGTCAACTATCTTTTTAAAAAAATTGTATACCCTAAAATGGGAATTTTTAAAATAAAATCAGATTTTAAAATAATAAATATCAAAAATATTTAAACACTTTCACCCAACCATACAAAAAAAGAAATTTTATTTTAATTGAAATAATGCAATTCGGTAAACTATAAATTTCCAATATAAATTCATATGCATACACACATTTTATATTTTATTTTATTTTATTTCTTAAACAAAAAAAACAATAAAAAAACTTTTTTTTTAGTTTATATGTTTTATTACAAAATTTAATTTACATACTTTTTTTTAATTTCTTTATTATATTTTAATTTTGATTTTGTATTTATAATTTTATTAATAAAGATTTTATTTTGTGTCCTTAAATGAAAAAAAAAAAACATATTTTATTTTATTATTTTTTATTTTTAGTATTTGCCTTCTTTATACATGCATTTTGTATTTTATCTGTTTTCAGTTGTGTTAATTTTATATTTTTGTTTTTTTTTTTTAGGTTCTTTTGATAATTATTTTTATATTCATTTTGTTTACATTACCAAAAATAAACTTCTTGCAAATTTTCCGGTCCATTTAAAAACTTCTCTACT